TTTTTTTTTTTTTTTTTTTTTTTTTTTAAGAGAGGCATGTTTTATTTATTTATTTTGTTTGTTTGTTTTGTTTTTACATGCACTGGGTACAGTCAGAAGCGCGGGAGGGTGAGAGAATTCACCAGAGCCAGAGCGGGGAGCAGAGCAGGCAGAAGGACCGAAGTACACTGCTGAGGGGAGCAGCGGGCGGCAGGAGGGGTCTGCGCGCCATGTGGGATCCTCCGCCGGTGGCCGGGAAGCAGCCGGGGATCGAACCGGCGCTGCAGAGGCCGCGGGCAGCTTCGCAACCCAGCGCTCAACCACTGCGCCACTGGGGAGGCCCTTATTTGACATTCTTGCATTAAGAAGTATTTTATGGGGCCTCCCCTGGTGGTGCAGTGGTTGAGCGCTGGGTTGTGAAGCTGCCCGCAGCCTCTGCAGGGCTGGTTCGATCCCTGGCCGCTGGTGAGGGTCCCACATGGCGCGACAGACCTCTACTGCCGTGTCTGCTGCTCCCCTCAGCAGTGTTTCATCACTTTGCTCTGGCTCTGGTGAATTCTCTCACCCTCCGGCGCTTCTGACTGTACCCAGTGCTTGTATAAATAAATAAATAAATAAATCTTTTAAAAAAGGTATTTTATGTATGAGGTATTTTAGCTAGAAAACCAAAGTAATTTTCCTAAATCTACAGACTTTTAAAATCAGAAGTGAGTCTATAAGTTATTTTGTCTCATCTATATCCAGTTCATTACAGAAAAATTTATTGAGCACAGCATACTCTAGGTAGAATGTGATAAGAATTATGTTCTTTGCTGAGCTGATTTAAGGTATTCAGTTTATTTTACATGAGATAAATTATGTGGTAGAGATATGTGAAATAATATATGGGGGAAATGTTAGAACAGTGTATTCTGGGAGATTTTGGCCATGGGAAGGTTGTTTTTAACATTTCATACTTTTTGTTGCCACAAAGCCAAATGCAAACTTCTGTCTGACTTAACCCCTCTCACACTCAACTCTATTCCATATCCTGAATAACTGCTGTGATCCCTTACGGTTTTCAATTCTTCTGATCTCTTCTAGTCAGGCAAGTTAGTATTTCTTAGTAGAATAGTTACAAGGTTCTTATGCATGAGAGTCAACAACAGAAACTTAAAAATAGCATTCATCATTAATAATATCCAGAAAAATTAGGGAGGGGAGAATTTAAATATATGCAGAAAATGGAAAGAAGCCTACCTATAACTTGCAAATCTATACTTATGACTTTGTCCCCCTTCTATTTATATGCATCTACTTTTCCTTCCTGAGTTGGTGAACTTACAACTTGGAAAGTTGCATCTCCCTAAGGCAAAAGCAAAAGGAGCTATGTTCTCTATTCCCTAGATAGATACATTTGAAATACTTTATCCTGAGCAGTAGTTTGTCCTTTGACTAACTTATAGGTCTTTCCTTAATCATCTAGCAAGTTTTTCATGTAATTTTTCAATGGATAAGATGTTCCTGTTACTTTCTAAGCTTATCCACACTGAATTATGTTTGCTTATTTAATTTGTCTAGACCAGTATTTTTCCTTTTTTTTTTTTTTATTTTCTTACATTGTTATTTTTTTGTACAGCATTTGATTTTTCCCCTCAGATGTAGTCCCTGTAGTTTTCCCACCCATAGTACCTGTGATCCATCACCACAGTCCCTTGTGCTCTTCCCTCCCCTGTTTTGACCCCCTTGCTCCACCTCCCTTGCTGTATGCTTCAGGTCTAATGTCAGCTTGCAAGTTTCATCTTTTACCTGATCATTTGCTTGGTTTCTCTGTATTTCTGGTTGGTTTCTGTATATTTCACTTAGCTTATGCAGCAGTCCCTTCCAGTTCCATCCATGTTACCACAAGTGTCATTAATTTATCTTTTTTGATGGCCAAATAGTGTTCCATTGTGTATATATACTACATCATCTTGATTCATTCATCTGTTTTGGGGCATTGTGGTTGTTTCCATAGCTTGACTATTGTAAATAGCGCTACAGTAAACAAAGGAGTGCAAATTTCCTTTGACTTAGTGTGTTTATGTCCTTTGGGTAGATTCTTAGGAGTGGAATTGCTGGTAGACCAGTATTTTCGATTAGGGCCCCAGAAACAATGGCAATATCTGTTTATATTTTCCTTTTTCACAATTGGGGAGTGTTAATGGCATCTAACAGGTAAAGATCAGGGATGCTGCTCAACACTGTGTGAAAGGACAGCTGAATTTGAGAAATTAATGCTGTATTATATTGGACTTTACAGCTTATATAAAAATGAATGCATTCATTATCCATTTCTCAGGAATAAACATTATTATGGTAATACAGATTTTTATGAGTGACTATTATCTAATTAATTATCTTCAGTTTGTGGTAGAAAGACTGAAAATATGTGTATTTAGAATAAAAGAATATTCTTGGGTTATGATTTCAGGTCCATAGTAGAATCCTTTGAAGAAAAGTAAGAGTAATGTACTATCTAAGTATTTGAATTTCTGTAATTTATTATTAAAGCCTAATATGTACTTATGTTGATGTGATAAAGAACCTTCTAACAGCATTGTCAATATTACTTTATCTTAGTTCTAAATGAAATGCTTTAAAACAGAAATTCAAACTTGTTAGAGTGATTAGCAGTCTGTTTATTTTGAGCATGCATATGTTGTCATTCAGTAAACATGTACCTAATGCCTGTTATGGGCCATGCATTTAAATATTTGAGACACAGTAGTGTTTCTTTGTAAAAGAACTCAGATGCACTCTTACAAAGTAGAGTGGTAGGTATGTTCACTAATACTAAAGGAAGACCTAGAGGGAGAGGGAATTCAAGCTGTATCAAGTCTCCCAGGCTAAGAATAAGGTTTTTACAAATAGAATTATTTGTGTAGACTTAAAATAATATATTTGTAAGTCACTGTGCCTGCTTATACTTAGGGAGCCTAGGAAATAGGAGCACATCTATTGATGATTATCAGAAAAAAGTAGAACCATGAATCTCATACAGACAAAACATGTTTTGGATTTTTGTTAAATTCATTCAGTAATATGACCAGACTGAAATGTTTTTAAATGAACAAATTTATGTGAACTAATGAAATGTTGGAATAAATTATAAACAGAGCAAAACTTTTTTTTAAAGATTGATTGATTGATTTATACAAGAGCCGGGGTACAGACCAGATGTGCAGGAGGATGAGAGGATTCACCAGAGACAGAGTGGGGCACAGAACAGGCAGACTGACTGAAATACACTGCTGAGGAGAGCAGCGGGCAAGACAGGAGAGGTCTGCCGCACCATGTGGGTATCTCCCTGGCCAGCCAGGATCAAACCTGCACTGAAGAGACTGCAGACAGCTTCACAGCACTGCGGTCAACCGCCTGCGCCACCAGGGAGGCCTGCAAAACTTTTTTAATAGAGTGGGGAAGAAATAATTTGGACATAATTTGCATGTCTGAGTCACCTATAAGTTACAGATTTGTAAAATAGCTCCCTTAGAATCAGTCTGTTAGTGCATACTTTTCCATTACAATACAGAAATTTTTTCTATAGGAGTGGCAGGAAGTTGTAGAACACTTTCCAATGCCCTGCCAGAGAGTCTATATGTAATAGGGAGGTAAACAAAATTTTTGGATTAGGGGAGTGAAGGTAGGTTGTAATTTAGATAAAACACTGGAGATGACGTTGTGTAGATTTCATTTAATAGGGAGCAGCAATCTGTGCATTGAAACTAGGCTTTGCAATGGCAGTAAGATTGAGCAAAAGGGACAGTTGGTAGATTTAGGACATGGAATACTTAAGATTTATGGCCTGGTTAAATAAAGCAGATGAGGAGGTAAGAAGAGACAGGAGGTGTCTGGCATATGCACTTGTAAGGAAAGTGGCTTATTTCACTGAAGAAGGGAATACCAGAGGAAAAGCACTATTTGTGGAAAGATAAAAGTTAGTATTGGATATGTGCCTTTTGAGATAATGTGGGATACCAGGGTGCACATGTTCATTATGTAGTTAGAAATCTTAAGTTTGGAACTCAGATGGAAGATTTTGGACTAAGAATTTCAATCTGTAAACTATTAGCTAAATTGAAATTTACATAAAATAACTGAGCAGGGAGAACTTCACTGTGAAGAGGAAGACAAATAGTAGCTCTGGGAAAAATCTTTATTTGCCTATTCCCCTGGAGCAATTATAGTGTATGTCTTGGGACCATTATTATAATTTGGTGAGGTATCGTCTTACTTTTCATTGTTAATAATGACACTTGCTGAGTTTTAATTATATTTTGTATTGACCTTTGAAGCTATTATTTATTCTTGGTTTGTAGTCCAGCGAGAGAACTTTGAATCAAAAATTATAAACATTTTAGATTTCAGATTAGAAAGACTTAGTTGAAACTCTGCACTAGTGTGAAAAGTAAAATCCCCCCCAAGGGACAAAGAATAGGAAAAAAGGATTTGCCATTAGGTTTATATAACATATTTGCAATATGTTATACTGTGAATTTCTGTAATTACCTCTCAGTTCCAAATGCATTCCAGACTCATGGGAGTGGTGTAGGGACTGTTCTCTGATATTTTACACTGTGATAATAGGTAAGTTTGAATAGATTCTACTGTTCAATAATTGAAGCCTACATTTGTGTTCCCATTTACTTTTCTTCACAGTCTCAGAATTAATGAAGCATAAAGCCTTTTTCTTTTCTTTGAGGGAATCTATTAACCGTATTTTATACCATTCTTGTCTTGGAGTTAATTTTGAGATAGAAACCCCTTTCTATTACCACTGTCACCACCATATAGATAGGAAGTATAGCTGTGTATTATAACATCACATTTTTAAAAATGTGTGTCTACGGCTATATCAGTTATAAATTATAAAATCCATTTAGGGAATATTGTGATTAGAATGTGTTCGGAGATTTTTTGAAACTGGCCTTTTTTTTAATGTTTAGTTGTATTTGAAGTTTAAAACTCAGAGAAGCATTGAAAATCTTTTTTCTTTTCAGATCATCCAATTATGATGGGTTTTGAGCCCCTTGTTAACCAGAGACTGCTTCCACCTACCTTCCCTCGATATGCAAAAATAATTAAAAGGGAAGAAATGGTCAACTATTTTGCAAGATTAATAGATAGAATAAAAACTGTCTGTGAGGTGGTCAATTTAACAAATTTACATTGCATCCTGGTAAGTAGACATTCTATTTTGGAATCAAACATTGAGTTGACAACAGAATAGTTAATCACTTTTTAGAGACTGTTCCAAAGGTAAATAATACTGCTAACCTGTTCACTGTGGTGACTGAATTAAGTGGTATATATATAGATAGATAGCTGGATGGCTGGATAGATAGATATACATAGATATCTATTGATGTATTTCTGTTTATCTTCTTTTTTTTTTTTTAAAGATTTATTTAGTTATGCATACAAGAGCTGGGGTACAGGCCAGAGATGCGGGGGGTGAGAGGACCCACCAGAGACAGAGTGGGGAACAGAGTAGGCAGACTGAAACACACTGCTGAAGGGAGAGACAGGAGAGGTCTGCCTCGCCATGTCGGTTTCTCCCTAGCCGGCTGGGGATCAAACTCGTGCTGCAGTGGCTGTGGATTGCTTTATAGTGTGGTGCTTAACCCCTTGCACTACCAGGGAGATTAATACAGTTTAGAGAAATTAGATAATTCACCCAGTTTTTACAAATGGGAGTTTGAACCTAGATTCTGCCTTCAAAACCTTTTATGAAACTTATGTGTGTGTATAATTTTTCATACAAAGATTGGATCATAGTGGTTTCTAACCTGTCTTTTAAACTACTCATCTATGGTGTGAACATGTTTTAATATCAACAAAAACACGTACTTCCACAGTATTTAAACGGCTGTGTGGTACTTCATTATGTGCATATACCACAGGTTTTTTTTTAAGTCCATTCATATTGATACATTTAGGATTTTTTCATTGTTTACTGTTATAAACAATTCCAAGATGAACCTCTCTACATGTAATTTTTTTTTAAAGATTTATTTATTTATACAAGAACTGGGGTACAGAGCCTCCCTGGTGGCACAAGGGGTTAAGCACCACACTCTGAAGCTATCCTCAGCCTCTGCAGTGCGAGTTCGATCCCTGGCCAGCCAGGGAGCAACCCACATGGTGAGGCAGACCTCTCTTGTCTCGCCTGCTGCTCTCCTCAGCAGTGTGTTTCAGTCAGTCTGCCTGTTCCGTTCCCTACTCTGTCTCTGGTGAATCCTCTCACCCCCAGCATCTCTGGCCTGTACCCCAGCTCTTGTATGCATAAATAAATAAATCTTTAAAAAAAAAAAGAACGGGGGTACAGGTCAGAGGTGCAGGAGGGTGAGAGAATTCACCAGAGACAGTGGGGAGCAGAACAGGCAGATGGACCAAAGACACTGCTGAGGGGAGCAGTGGGTGAGGCAGGAGAGATCTGCCGCGCCATGTGGGTTTCTCCCTGGCCGGGTGGGAATTGAACCCATGCTGCAGAGGCTGTGGACAGCTTCACAGTGCAGCACACAACCCGCTGCGCCACCAGGGAGGCCCTCTACATGTAAATCTTTGTATCATGTATTTCCTTCCTCCTTAATCTAAATTCCTAAACAATAAAGTTGCTGGGAAAAGGTATGCGTGTTATTAAGTTAGCATATTTTGGATTAATCTTTTTTACTGGTTAAGATATAGAAGAACAAAATTTATCCAAAGGCTATTAAAGCATTCAGAGGTAGAGATTTGTTAAGCTCATAATGACTTATGTAAGGTTGATAGGAAGGTAGAAAATGTGCAAAATAATACTGTTGTATAGATATAAGCACACTATTTTGCATAATTCTATATAGATGTGCATTTGGGTACTATCCCCTTGCATGCTGAGGTATAGAATTCCTGGCCCCTATGTCTATTCCTCTGTGAAGCCTTCCTTATTGGTTCTAGATTGAAATTTTACCTGTGTTTGCTAAGATGAAAAATTACCTAGTTTATACTCCTAGAATTAAGCAACAGCCTCTGGGACATAATTGATACCCAATAAAAATGTGTACGTTTTACTTATGCTCTTTTTTGTAATAACCTTTCCTTTCTTCTAATTTGTTGTTGTTTAAGTCGGTGAAATGTTGGTGAAACTTTCACTGATGATGCCTTTTGCGTTTGCTTCCTTTTTAGTAGTTTGTCCCATTCTGTCATAAGACTCATAAAAGACAGATAAAAGCAGAAAAGATCAGACATCAGCCAGTTCACTTTGCAATTTACTAAGGTTTAGAGAGCTTATAATTAAATTTGCTGATTGTTAATGGTATAATCTGGATTTTATTTTTTTTCCTTTTTCTAATTTAAATTTTATTTTTATATTCCCCATACAATTACAACCCCCTTATTTTGACCCTGATCCCTCCTTTCCCCGTCCCCCACCTCCATAGTATGTCTCTGGTTTATAGTGGTTTGTTGATTTTGATTTTTTCTTTCTTATAGTTATTCTTTTTCCTGGTCCCTTATTTAAGTTTTCTAGATTCCTGCTATGAGTGAGACCATCCGGTATTTTTCTTTTTCTTTCTGGCTGCTTTCATTGAGCATGATCCCTTCCAGCGCCATCCATGTTGCTGCAAATTGCATGTGTTTATCTTTTTTGAATGCTGAGTAATATTCCATGGTGTATATGTACCACATCTTCTTGATCCAGTCATCTATTTTTGGGCATTTGGGTTGTTTCCAAAGCTTAGCTATTGTAAACAGTGCTGCTATAAACATAGGGGTGCAGGTGCTCTTTGGAATTGATGTTTCTGTGTCCTTTGGGTAAATACCTAGGAGTGGAATTGCTGGATCATATGGAAGCTCTATGTTTAGTAGGTCCAGAAATCTCCACACAGCTCTCCATAGTGGTTGGACCAGTTTGCACTCCCACCAGCAGTGCAGGAGAGTTCCTTTTTCTCCACAACCTCGCCAACATTTGTTGTTGCTAGTTTTTTTAATATGTGCCATTCTCACTGGTGTAAGATGGTATCTCATGGTAGTTTTGATTTGCATTTCCCTGATTACAAGTGATGTTGAACATTTTTTCATATGCCTGTTGGCCTATAATCTGGATTTTAAAGAGATTTTTTTTAACTCTTCTGCTGCATCTACTTTCTGATCTTAATTGTTTTGTGTATATATATATTTGTGTTCATCAGATTTAATTATAGGATTTTAGAAAAGGAGAAGCTCAATGTGTATTGGAATAAGAAAGTATAATACAACAGATGGAATTTGATATTCTGGGGGAGGATTATAGATAGCCTTGGGGGGGGGGCGGAGTTGAATGTATGATGATACCCATAATAGAGGGGAGCTGAGAGAGCCCAGGGAGCTGGACTACTGGTACTGGACATGAAAGGGGCAGAGTAGGAGAAGAGTCTGGACCCATGGAAGGCTTGGGACAGAGGGAAAGGTGACAGTAGTTATGGAGGACAGGGTAGCAGAGACTAAGAATATAGGAAAAGATTAACGTTAGGAAGAATAAGGGACCAACTAATCTGCTGGCTATGCCTGAGAAATCTGTTACTGATACGATAAAGTACTCGTGTCGATAAGATATAAAGGTAAAAGCATCTCAGTGAAAAATTGGCAAAGAACACAAGCACACACATTTTAAAAGTGCATATGAAAAATGCTAGAAGTAAAATAGGGGAAAAGGACTTAACATTTTAAGTAAAGAAATGCAGTTTATAGCAATTAAGTTGAAAAGTATGACAATTTAGTGTTCATAAGAGGAAATAGTCATTTTTCTATACTCCAGTGATTGTCTTTCTCAAAAGTCTTAAAAGTGTGTACATTTTGACCCAGGACCTTCCTTGGTGGAGAATATTTAACAGTCAATTGACCAGAGAAATTTGGTAGATCTTGGTAGAACAGGCACTTAAACTGAGAAACAGGAGTGTCCTTAGACTTTGTGTAAGTGTGGAAGGAAAAGCATACTAAAATTGGTGATGAAGAGCTGATAAAGGAGTTAGAATGAGTGGATCAGAAAGATAGTAAATGGAGCTAAAAAGTAGAAGATTTGTCTCCACTAAAAGAGAGAATTTAAAGCATGTTGCATAACTATTCAAAAAGAAGAAAAGTTAAGTGTCATGAGATGGTAACCAGACAGAATAATAGTTCAAGGAGAAAAGGAAAACCTTTTTAAAAATAGTTGTGACTTAAGCTGACATATTTTAATAACCCTGGAAACACTCATTCCCTCACTACCCTCTTCCTCTTTGTCTCCACCACTTCCTTCTACTCCTTCTCTTCCTCCTTTATCCTACCCTGCCCCACGTCCCTTCTCTTATTTTAGGGATGCTACATAATAAAAAAGACTGGTAATTTTCCCAGCCCAATAGTAACATTGCCTTTCTTGGATAGAGTTTGGATAGAGTTTGGGTGGCACATACCTTGAATACAAGCTTTAAGTCATTGATGGTTAGGTAGTGCTGTGCTGAGGGGATCTTTCAGCTGTAATACAGGGGGAAGTGCTATAATTGTCTAGATAGTTTTTGCCCAAATGACTATCACTGTAGAAAACAGTCTCTTTCCAGGAAAGGAAACTATAGGCTCTATATCTTTAATTCGCTCATTGCCATCATATAGCAATGCCGTAAGTGTCCGGAAGCACAGATACCTTGTCCTTACTTAATGAGCCCAATCCAAATATTAAAATGCATACATTTTTACTAACTCTAAAATTTGGAAAATGCAAAAAATGTGAAGTTGATAAATCACTAATGTTATAATCTGCAAATGTTAACATTTCAGTGTATATTACCTTTTTCTTTTATTTGTGTATAAGCTGACATACAATTTTCTGGCATGTCTTTTGGTTTACCTAAAGTCAGAAACAGCAATATGAATTCAGTCAGCCTGGTTACTTGGTATTTATGTGAAATAGGAAATAAACCTCTCCCATTAGTTATAATTTCTTGATTCTATTTTTTTCATGGTGTACACATTTACTATTGATATTATTGATATTCTTGCAGTACTCAGTTTGTTAAAATTCTAAAATTATTCATTAATCCCAGTGACTGCAATTAAATAAGCCCTATAGATATGTTCTGAAGTTATTTGTCTTAACACAGGTGGTAAATTACACTCTGCAAATATTTTCAGCTTTTATTTAATCTGCTAATGACATTCCTTTTTCTCTTGTGTATCAGGATTTTTTCTGTGAATTTAGTGAACAATCACCTTGTGTTCTTTCGAGATCTTTATTACAAGTAAGTTCCCATTAGTATCATTCCATTATAAAGATGGGATGTTTTTTAAACATTAAGTGTTGTGTATACTCACATTGTTTTTTTGATGGAACAAGGAGATGCTTCTAAAGGATGTTCCACAGTTAGTGTTATTTTAATAGAATAGACTTAAAAGTGTTAGACATTCATCAAGATAATAGGCCATAAAATAAACTTCATTAATTTTAAAATAATATAAATTGTACAAAGTATGCTCTTTGTTTTTTTTTTTTTTTTTTTTTAGGCATGTTTTATTTATTTATTTATTATATTTGTTTGTTTGTTGTTTATACATGCACTGGGTACAGTCAGAAGCGCGGGAGGGTGAGAGAATTCACCAGAGCCAGAGTGGGGAGCAGAGCAGGCAGAAGGACTGAAGTACACTGCTGAGGGGAGCAGCGGGTGGCAGGAGGGGTCTGCGCACCATGTGGGATCCTCCTCTGGTGGCCGGGGAGCAGCCGGGGATTGAACCGGCGCCGCAGAGGCCGCGGGCAGCTTCGCAACCCAGCGCTCAACCGCTGCGCCACCGGGGAGGCCCCAAAGTATGCTCTTTGACTGCTATGAAGTTAAACTAATCAATAACAGGAATGTATCTGGAAAATTCTCCAGATATTGGAAATTAACACTTGTCTAAAAAATCTGTGGATCAAGGAAGAAGTCTTAAGAATGAAAAAGAAAATATATCAGAATCTGTAAGGTACAATTAAATTAAGCAGTGCCTAGGGGGAAATTGACAACATTAAATGTTTATATGAAAAATAAGAAAAATCTAAAATTAGTAATTTAAGATTGTGTTTTAGAAAACAAGGGGATAAAAAACAAACTCTAAGCAATCAAAAGGAAGGAAATAACAAATGCAGAAATCTGTAAAATAGGAAACAAGTGGTAGAGAAAATCAGCACAATCAAAAGCAGGTTCTTTGAAAATGTCAACAAAATTGATGAACCTCTAACCTGACAGAGCATGAAAATAGAAGATAGAGAATCATAATTTTATCAGGAATGAAAGAGAAGATACCATGATAGGCCCTACACATTAAGGTGATCATTTAAGAATATTATAAACAGGGCCTCCCCTGGTGGCGCAGCGGTTGAGCGCTGGGTTGCAAAGCTGCCCGCAGCCTCTGTAGCGCCGGTTCCATCCCCAGCTGCTCCCTGGCCACTGGAGGAGAGTCCCACATGATGCGCAGACCTCTCCTGCCGCCCGCTGCTCCCCTCAGCAGTGTGCTTCAGTCCTTCTGCCTGCTCTGCTCCCTGCTCTGGCTCTGGTGAATCCTCTCACCCTCCCGCGCTTCTGACTGTACCCAGTGCTTGTATAAATAAATAAATAAATAAATAAAATAAAAATAAATAAAGCTTTTTTTTTTTAAAAAAAAAAAGAATATTATAAACAACTCTGTGTCCATAAATTCAAAATTTTTTTAAAGATTTATTTATGCATACAAGAATGGGATACAGGCCAGAGGTGCGGGAGAGGAGTGGGGGTGAGAGGATTAACCAAACAGAACAGGCAGAATGACTGAAATACACTGCTGAGGGGAGCAGTGGGCAAGTCAGGAGAGGTCTGCTGCGCCATGTGGGTAGCTCCCTGGCTGGGGATTGAACTCATACTGCAGTGGCTGTGGTTAGCTTCATAGGTTGCGTCTTAACCCCTTGCACCACCAGGGAGGCCCCATAAATTCAAAATTATAAATGAAATAGACCAATTCCTTGAAGGACACTACCAAAATTCAAAAAGAAATATATAACTTGAATAATCCTATGTTTAGTAAAGAAATTGAATTCATAGTTGAAAACTTTGCAGCAAAGAAAATGCCAGGTCATTTGTATCTTCCAGAAAATAGAACAGGCAAAAACACTTGATATTTTTAAGATGTTAATTCTCCCCAAAACTGATCTACAAATTCAAAGCAATCTCAATCAAAATAATAGCAGGAAAATTTGTAGATAACAGCAAGCTTATTCTAAAATGTATATGGAAAGACAGAGAAATTAGAATAGCCAGAGCAATTTTGAAAATAAAGTTAGGAAACTTACATTACATGACTGCAAGACAGGTATGGTATTGGTAAGATAATGGGCACATAGATCAGTAGAATGAAGGGTAAAGCCCAGAAAAGGCCTATTCTTTAATTAGTCCTTTATATAGCCATTTTTATAGTATATATGGTCTTTATTAATTGACTAATGTGGTTGATTAATATATAATCGGTTGTTGACAAAGCGCAAAGATTAGTGGTGAAATGGTGTGGTGCTCTTTTCAACAAATGGAGCAAGAACAGTTGGACAGACATAGAAGAAATTGACTCAGAATATATTATAAACCTAAATATAAAATGTGAAGCTATAAAACTTATGGAAGAAAAGTAGGAGATAAGTCTGTGACTTTGGGGAAGGCAGAAAATTCTTAGATATTACATCAAAACTACAAGCCATAAAAAAATAGATAAATTGATAGGGAAAGGAAAGGGGACTACAGAATGGAAAAAGTCATTTGTAAATCCTCTCTGACAAAGGATTTGTATTTAAAACATAAAAACTCTGTAAAAATAACTAAAAAACAGATAACCTTAAAATACGCAGAAGTTGTTAAAGGGAGAAAATTAAATGCAGATTATTAATAACTTATTTTAAGTATGTTTTCTCCAATTTCAGAAAGTTTGTAGTATTCCTAAGTGTTCCTTGGGGGTAAAGATTATCAACTAAATATTTATAACCATTTAATATTTCATAATTTGTGAATCCCTTTTACATATTAGCTTGCATGACATGCTCATACTAGGCATTTCATTTTGATTAGTTCAGTTTTTCTGCTTTTGGGAGATATTTTTTTCTCTCCCTCAGAACACACGTTAACATAGGGATCAATAATAGTGCCTATTAGGAAATCATTGATTTATAAAAATTTTCTAGCAGTTTTTTATATTTTAATCCCTTGTATTCTGTGGTATTTTAAGAAATATATTCATGTCACACTGATCATTTAGTATATGTATATATAGTATGTCAAGATTGTGACAGCATTACTAATATGTAGCACTTATTTTAAGACCACTTTCCTAGTGGATAACAAAAAGGTCTTTGGAACCCATCTCATGCAAGACATGGTCAAAGATGCACTTCGATCTTTTGTCAGTCCTCCAGTTCTCTCCCCAAAGTAAGTATCCTAACATTTTATAGCATTTGTGTTTCTTAAAACCTGAAATTCTCTTTGTTCCTTCGCTGCCAAAGCATAAAAACTGTTGGAATCAAGTCACCATATAAAAGAAAGTGCAGACATGCTAATATTAATTGATTTCTGCCACAGGTTGTTTGAAATGAAGTATGTGTGAGAATGGCATTAGGGTCTAACATAAGAAACACTGAAGTCATTTGCAACTTAAGTAACTTGTATTGAACCTCATTGTATGCAAATTACTGTTACGCAGGCATTTTATAAAACAAGATAAGTTCTCAGTGATCTGAGTCTAAGTAGAAATAAAAAATGCAGATAATTGATCTCTAAACTTTTTTCTGGTGGCATCACTGCCCTGCCCTGAAAACACTAACAGATTTTATGCAGAAAGTACAAACATTTGAGTTAGAGTTTAAGACTTAAGTAGAGCTTTTCCAGTGGGGAGCAGAGAAAAGTATTGTCCCTTATTTTCAACTCAACATGGTCACAGCATCTTTACCAGGAGTAAATTCCATCCCCAGAAACCACTTTCTAAGCTCATCTATAAGAAGCAATTCCTCACCCATTCAATTTTTATCATGAAATTATAGTTTAGTTATACTTCAGACTCTATTTCTAATTTTAGTTCTTGTTATTTCTACTACTCCTGCAGTTTCTTCCTCCACTGAAGTCTTGAATTCCTCATCAGGGTTGAAATCAACTTCTTCCAAATGCCGGTTATATTTTTACCTCCTCCCATGAATCATTAGTGTTTTAAAGGCATTCATAATGCTAAATCCTTTCAGGTTTTCAGTTGATTTCGCTCATGTCGCTAAGAAGAATCACAGTCTGTGGCAGTTACAGCTTTATAAGATGTCTTTCTTCATAAGACTTGAAAGTTGAAGTGACTCCTTGATCCTGCAGAATGGACATAGCACTAGCAGGCGCACACATGAAAACATTCATCTCTTTGTACCTCTCCACCAGAACCCTTGGGTGACCGGGTGCAGTGTTACTAAACAGTCCTATTTTGAAAGGCATCTTTGTTTCCTGAACAAGAGAAAGCCTTTGGTGTCTTAGGGGCAAAGGCAACTGACCTCTCACCTCAGTAATAGAAAAATAAGTATTTCCCATCAATTCAGACCTATAGTACATTTAGGGCCAGGCAGGGAGCAAATCCTCCCAGAGTGCTTAAGGAAGGCTTTAGTCAAAAAGTGATGCTATCAACTGAGATAAAGAACACCACGGGGAAACTACTTTGTGAGGATAGATGAGGTGCCAGAGGGTTTTGTAGATGATGATTTTGGGTAGTAGTTTAAAGTGTGAGTACATCTTGAAAAAAATTAGGATTCTGTACATTTTCTTGGCAGTTACTGTCAAGAGCACAGACCATAGCATGAGAATATCAATTACAGGGAAATAAAAAATGGGAAAATTGGATCATGAAAAAGTAGAGCTTTGGGATTTTCTTTTTGTCATTAACTTGATGTATTATTGGATCCAGTGCTAATACCCAAATAGAGAATAAAAAGAAATGGAAATACTGCACATTTGTTGTGAACAACACAATAATGAAATATTTCTCAATCTAATGCCTGCAGATTTTTCCATTTTCTCTTTTTCTGCCTTCCCTTGTTCATTGGTACACCACTGCTGCTTTTTGTAGGCCAGGCATTAATAGTTTGATCTTAATGACGTGAATATTATCTTACAGGTGCTACCTTTATAATAATCACCAGGCTAAGGACTGTATTGACTCTTTTGTTACTCACTGTGTTCGGGTAAGAGCTACAATTTGAATCACTGTGGTGGACATTTAAAAAATTGTGGAGTGTAATTTCTTTAGTAGCATTAATTTCTCCTACTTTTTCATCTAAAATTTCTTATTCATGTTCACTGAATAAATAAGCAATTTCGGTCTCCTGTTTAACACTGTACATGACCTGTGCTCTTCCTGGTAGGTACTGAGCTCCTTTTGATGCTATCTCAGTATAGTTCTTAGGGGCCACAGAACGTAATATTACAGTAAGTCATGATCCCCATTTGGGAAAATAGCAGTGTTCACTTTTTAAAAATTTTTTTGGTAAATGGACAAAACACTTTAATCTTGTAAACAAAGAATATAACATCCCCGGGCATTTACCTTTATACTACATTAATGAGCAGGATACTAGTGAAATTAAAATTATTATCAAATCATTCTTATTAATTATCTAAACAGTTCTCTTAAGAGTGCTTGGCTGTATACCAATATGGGCTCTAATTTGATTTATACCAAGTTCCAGGAAGGCAGCATGGTATGGTGAAAGGAGAATATGAATAAAAGACCAAATTTCATTGTTATCATTATCAGACAGATCACTTTTCAATAAACTTCCTCAGTCTTTAAAAGTGATATGTTAATACTGCCTCTACAGCTATTTATTTGAACAAATAGCTATTTATTTGTCAGATATTTTGACAATATCTGTCAAAATATGCAAATGTAAAACACTGTTGTGCTTAAAGAATCTTATAGTTCATACTTCTTAAATCATTCTGGTGTTGAGTTCCACACAAAGGAAACACCTATGTAAAAAACATACGTAGACATTATTCATTCATACACGGCATTTTCCCCCATTTAAACCTAGAATGTTTTGGAATGTTTTCTTTTGTATCAGGAAATTTCATATTGATGGTTGAATAAATTGTATGTGTATTGCAGCCATTCTGTAGTCTCATTCAGATCCATGGACATAACAGGGCTCGACAGAGAGATAAACTTGGTCATATTCTTGAGGAATTTGCTACCTTGCAGGATGAGGTAAGAGCCTGCAAGTTTCCCTCTCCTCTAATTAAGCAGTTTATATACTTTGACCAGATTTTAAAAAACAACTCTTTGGAACTCTTTTGATTTTAATTTTTCAATATGATGAATTTGCTTTTAACTTAAAATGTATTGTCTTTCTACATGAAAGAGTTAATAAAAAGAAATACCAGTAATCAAACTGAAAAACATCTTATTTTGCTGATAATCAGTGTAAATTATGAAATGTGTATTGAACTCCGAATTATAGTTTTATGTAAAGTTAACATTATAATAATACCGTAAATTTGAGAGCAGAGGCAAATTAATAAAGATCTGAAGTCGATTGCATATCTGTCCTATAAAATGTGTGTCTTTTTGTTTAAGGAATATTTAGGTGAAAATTATCCATTGTGACATGAGATGTTTGAATATAAATCTAACCACAAATGTATTTGAAAGTGTCTTTAGGTCTTTACATTTTCCGTTCATGTGCTGTTTTTAGCATTTTTTTTTTTTTTCAATTCTCACATTAAGAAGAAAGTCAATGTTATGACATTTCATTCTGATAGGCAGAGAAGGTTGATGCAACCCTTCACACTATGCTGTTGAAACAGGAACCACAAAGGCAACATTTGGCCTGTTTAGGTACCTGGGTCCTTTACCATAACCTCCGAATTATGATACAGTATCTTCTAAGTGGCTTTGAATTGGAACTCTACAGCATGCATGAGTACTACTACATCTATTGGTAAGAGAATAATATGAGTAAAAATTGGTGGAGTGTGGGATAGATGGGATCTGAGAGCATCCATAAAAATATAATTTCAGGGTACTGCTTTATTTAGTATATTTTAACTTTAATTACGGGAAAATTGAAAAATAGCTATTGAAAAATTAGAACCAGGTCATCTTGAATATCTTAGGCTACCATTAAACTGTACAAATATACTTTCTACAGCCATTGAATACTTATTTTAAAAGTTCTAGTAAATGTGGCTCTAAGGTAAATGGATTATTTTGTTTTATTAATACATTGTTAATGCATTTTGCTCAGATTTCAGTGATGCTCGGTACTAGCGTGGAATGTACTTAATATTCCAAACTTGACCTAATTCATGACTTGAGATTTTCATTGAGAGCAAACAATGACTCTGATTTGTCTTAGGAGCTTTAAGGGAGTTGATAAGAGATAATCCTTAGTAGAGTAGTTCTTCATTTTCTTTTCAGTATGGGGTAAATAATCCAAGGAAGAGGATGCTTGAGACTATTTGAAGCATAGAAAAACTCACAGAAAAGAGAATTGAGAGCTAATGAATTTTTTCTTTTTTTTTTTCAATTTTATTTAAAAAAAAATTTTTTTTTAAAGATTTATTTATTTATTTATTTATACAAGCACTGGCTACAGTCAGAAGTGCGGGAGGGTGAGAGAATTCACCAGAGCCAGAGCAGGGAACAGAGCAGGCAGAAGGACCGAAGTACACTGCTGAGGGGAGCAGTGAGCGGCAGGAGAGGTCTGCGCGCCATGTGGGACCCTCCTCCAGTGGCCGGGGAGCAGCCGGGGATCGAACCAGCGTTGCAGAGACTGCAGGCAGCTCCACAACCCAGCGCTCAACCACTGCGCCGTCGGGGAGGCCCTATTTAAAAAATTTTTAAATGTAGTGTTTTGTTTTTTTTTTCCCTCCATCGTTGTTAGTTTTTGTACAATATATGATTTTTCCACTCAGGTGTGATCACCGTAGTTCTCCCACCACCAAAGCACCCATAGTCATGACCATATTCCCTTGTGCTCTCCCCCCGACTGTTTTCACCTGTTCCTCACTGCCTCCCCTACCACCTCCCCTCCTGGATGCCTCATACCCATGTTAGCTTTTAAGATTTGTCTTTGAACCTTTGGTTTTTCTGTCTTCCACATATAAGTAAAACCATCCGATATTTATCCTTTTGACTTATTTCACCTAGCATCAACACTTCCAGTTCCATCCATATTGCTGCAAATGGCATGAGTTTATCTGTTCTGATCACTAAGTAGTATTCCATTGGGTATATACACACCACATCTTGATCCGTTCATCTGCTATACGACCCAGCTATTCGACTCCTTGGAATCTACCCAAAGAACACAAAAACATTAATTTGAAAGGACACCTACACCCTTTTGTTTATTGCAGCACTAACAGTAGCCAAGGTATGGAAACAACCTAAATGCCTGAAAACAGTTTAAATCTTTTCCTTATTTCTGGCAAAGCATGATAATTTAAATAATGACCTTTTCTTGTTCATTACAAACAATTAGATTTAATATTATCAGATCTTAGTATAGTTCATCTTAACTCAAATTATTAAAAATACTGTATATTCTATGGAGGCACTGTTATGAAGAAAGTTAATCTTTTCTACTTTGTTGACCTTATTTTGTTAATATTATTTACTGTTATAGCTAAGCATTAGTAGATAATGCTTAGCTATGAAAATTTAATTTGAGCATCAGCTATAGTAATATGAGAATCATATTTAGTATATTCCCACATTCATATTTTGCCACATCTACTTAGGATAATACATTTTGTTATTAACTCAAGTGGACACTCGAACATGAGTTCACGTTCTTTGTAGTTTGAGACAGCTGACTGGAATCTTTTCTGTTACTTACAATTTTTATATGCTTTTGGCACAAAGAATTGTTATATTTTAATTAAAGTAATATTGTATTATAACACATAAGTTTCAGATATGCATCATTGAGAATTAGCATGTATACATACTACATTAAGCTTACTGCTAAAAGTCTAACTCTGTTCTGCCACACCTTGTCCCCTTTTTCCCAATTAGCTCAGCACCTTCCCCTTTCCCATCTAGCAACCACTAGTTGGTCTTATATTCCAAAAGTTTGGTTTTTGTTTTTTTAAGATTTATTTATTTATACAAGCACTGGGTACAGTCAGAAGTGTGGGAGGGTAAGAAAATTCACCAGTCAGAGTGGAGAGCAGAGCAGGCAGACTGATGAAACACACTGCTGAGTGGAGCAGCGGGCGGCAGGAGAGGTGTGCTCGCCATGTGGGACCCTCACCCGGTGGCCGGGGATCGAACTGGCGCTGCAGAGGCTCTGGGCAGCTTCGCAACCCAGCACTCAACCACTGCGCCACCGGGGAGGCCCCCCAAAAGTTTGTTTTTGTTTCATTTAATTCATCTATTTTCTCTATATAAAGCATGCAAGTGACATCAACATGGTGTTTGTCTTTCTCTTCACTAAGCTTAAATAATTGAAATTTTATTTCAGCAAATAAAGAATATTCAGATAAATACTTCATATACTAAGCAGTGTCATTACTTGGTAATGAAAGAAGTTTTATTTCTGCCTATAATTAACCCTGTGATCTGTTTTCATGTTAATGTTAACTGATTTTTAGTTTTAAAATTACCGATTGGGATCCTGCTTCTTTGCAGGATCATCTTGTTGCTGAGCATGATCAGTAAAGTATATAAACAGTAGAAAATAGTGATTTGTAAACTTTAGCATGCATCGTGACTTAGAAAAGAACATTAGCACTCAACTTGGGTCCCTAGAGTTACTGGTTTTGTAGGTCTAAGGTAGAACCAATCATTTACACTGATCACTAGTTCTCCTGGTGCTGTTGCTGCTAGACCAGAAATCACAATTTGAGAACCAGGGGTAGGGAATATCAGTAATCTGATTTCTTAGATATAGCTGTCTATTAATTTTGATAAAGCTCTTAATAAAAATTCATTTAGATATCTGATATTTGAGAAGAAAGGCTTGAATCATGCCAACTATCCCTATACTCATCTGTCCTTGGGTTAGATAATTAGAAGGTAGAAGAGAGCATTATTTCCATAAAGAAATCCTATAAGTTGGGCCTCCCCGGTGGTGCAGCGGTTGAGCGTTTGGCTGCGAAGCTGCCTGTAGCCTCTGCAGCCACCAGGCGAGGGTCCCACATGGCGCGCAGACCTCTCCTGCCGCCCGCTGTTCCCCTCAGCAGTGTACTTCGGTCCTTCTGCCTGTTCTGCTCCCTGCTCTGGCTCTGGTGAATTCTTTCACCCTCCCGCGCTTCTGACTGTACCCGGTGCTTGTATAAATAAAAATAAATCTTTAAAAAAAAAGAAAAGAAAAGAATTCCTTTAAGTCAAGATATAAACCTTCAGATTTTGTATTGTGATGGAAAAAATTCATTTGTATCTTGTAAAAAGGATACAACAATAAATATTTTTTAAAAATTTATTTCCGGGAATTACTTTCCTTTCCATATGAAATTACATGCTTTTTAAAATGTATTTATTACTTCATTCTTCTTTTTTATAGAATGTATGCTTTCTCCACTCAGGTGTAGTCCCTGTCATAATTCCTACCACCAGTTCACCCGTGCACCATCCCTTGTGTTTCTCCCTCCCTCCTTCCGATTCCTCTCCTTCCCCCTCCCCTGCAGAATGTCTCTGATTTATAGTTGCCTGTTAATTTTGTTTTTTTATTTATTATAACTTCTTTTTCCTGATCCCTTATTTGGTTCCCCTATATTCCTCCTGTAAATGAAACCATCCGATATTTTTTTTCCTTCTGGCTTATGCTTTTTTTTAACCAAGTAAAATCATATTGGCCAGTATGCTGTAACTGCCAGGGAGCATAGTTCTCACATTAGCTTTTGCATACAGTACCTAAGTCATACCACATGTACTTTTTGACTAGCTTTTGTTTTGCTTTATCTTTTTGCATGTGTTTTAATATTATAACCTACATCATAACTTTTAGGGATATTTTGGGAATATGCATTATATATACAAACTTAACCATAAATTTTCTTATAAATCAAAAAATTTTCTTTTAAGTCTTTTTTACTTTATGTAGTAGTGGTTCATAATTTTTTTATTGAACATATATAAAGTATATTTGTTCATAATCCTAAATTTGAACTGCTTTTCTGGCTTAGAAGAATGTAATTTTCGTTAAACTTATGAAAAATTAGTGTCTGGTGGAGTAACCAGTTTCACATTCCATTTATGGAATAAACACAAGTAAATAAAATAAGCCTGAATGTTCTTAAATTTTTATAATGATTTTGCAGAATGCATGGTGTTTTCTCTGTTCTGTGTTTACTTTTTTCATAATTAACAGGAGACTGAAATATTTAGTAGGTTGAGTCAAAATGTGTCCTGACATAGCAAAACCAATTTAATGAGCTATCCTTTGATTTACACATATTTATCAGGAAATCTGAAAGGTTTGAAAATACATATTATTATAGGAAATAAAACAAATTTTCAGTATTTTACAGCAGCATATATGGCAACAAGGGAGTTAATCATTTGTAATGTTCATTTCTTTTGAGAGCTCACATTATCAATTATCTAATTGGATAATCTGGGTTTTGTTTTTTTTTTTTCCTAAAGATTTATTTATTTTTATACAAGAACCAGGCACAGGCCAGATGTGTGGGAGGGTGAGAGGATTCACCAGAGACAGAGCAGGGAACAGAACAGGCAAACTGATGAAATACACTGCTGAGGGGAGCAGTGGGTGAGACTGGAGAGGTCTGCTTCGCCGTGTGGGATTCTCGCCCAGCCAGCCGGGATCAAACCCATGCTGCAGAGGCTGTGGACAGCTTCACAGTCTGGCGCTCAACCGCCTGCGCCACCAGGGAGGCCCCTGGGGTTTTTTTGTTGTTGTTGTTGTTGTTTTTAAGACTTAAAGTGTTATTAAAAATACCTATTATTATTAATACATGTACTGATAAAGTTATCTCATTGAGACATCTGTGTTTTAATATTTGTATCTTTGAAGGTATTAATATTTGTATCTTTGAAGGTATCTCTCTGAATTCCTTTATGCATGGTTGATGTCAACATTAAGTCGTGCGGATGGCTCTCAAATGGCAGAGGAAAGGATAATGGAAGAGCAGCAGAAAGGCCGTAGCAGTAAAAAAACAAAGAAAAAGAAGAAAGGTGCTATGGATTATTTTTAAATTTAAGAAATAATTAACATTGATGTGCACTTTAATTTCTACAGCTAAATACATAGAGAGTTACCTGTGCATTGTAACGGGTAAATTAGTTACTACATTTTAATTCTCACCCATTATCTCTTCAGAGAGTATAATTAGTAACTGATATTAGTGATAACAAGCCTTTTTGGCTCCTTTTCTTTTACTCCTTTATTACTCCATGTGTCAGATGACTGTTAGGAAAAGAAGCAACAGTTACATGAAGCACAAAAAGAGGATGGGTTAAGGAAGAAGACAGAAGGGGAATCTATGATCTCCTTTTAATAGAAGGCTGACAGTTCAGGAGGTAGATCTGGAGTTGTTGTTACAACCATCACAGAAAGAGATCACAGGTACCACCAAAGCATCATGCGGGGAAAGAAATGTTTCAAAGGGAAGGCTCTGTAAATCAGTCCAAAGGTTACAGATATTGCTACAATTGTTAAAAATATTACTTTATATTTTCTTAGGATTTCAACAATTTGGTGGGTCATTAAATGACTATATTCATAACCTGTAGGAACTGAAATTTTAATTTAGTAAACTAGGTGGAATAATACAGAGGAGGGGAAAAAGACTACAAATGATTTTCTTTTTAATTATAGTTCGCCCACTGAGCCGAGAGATCACAATGAGTCAGGCATATCAGAACATGTGTGCTGGAATGTTCAAAGTAAGTTGTTGAAAATGACCTTTTTTGCTTTTTAACTTTGTTGCTCCTGTGTAGTTTAGCACAAACTCTTCTGTCATTCTTTCTGGATTCTAAATCATCTGCTTGAAAATTGCCCTTTTCCCCAGTCTAGTTGTTGATTCAATTTTTTTTTAAAGATTCATTTGTTTACTTATGCATACAAGAGCTGAGGTATAAGCCAGAAGTGCGGGGACTGGGGGGCAGGGGGAGGGTTTTTTTTTTGTTGTTTTTTTTAAGATTTATTTATTTATGCATACAAGAACTAGGGTACAGGCCAGGGGTGTGGTTGGAGAGAGGATTCACCAGAGACAGAGCGGGGAACAGAACAGGCAGACTGATGAAATACACTGCTGAGGGGAACAGTGGGCGAGACAGGAGAGGTCTGCCGTGCCATGTGGTATTCTCTCCTGCCGGCCAGGATTGAACCTGCGCTGCAGAGGCTGCGGACAGCTTCACAGTGTGGCACTCAACCGCCTGCGCCACCAGGAAGGACCCCATTTTAATTTTTTTAACAAATATTCGAACCTTGCTGAGTGGCAGATACCTTTTCCTGAGTAGATTGCAGTCTAATCAGATGTGATCCTTCTCTCAAGAGCCTATTTAATGACAGGTCAGGTGACATATGTGTGACACATGTAATAAGAATACAGAAGATTAATGATCAGGAAAAATTTCTTGAAGAGACAGGGTTTAGTTTATTTAAGTGTACACTAGGGAGGGGGTGGGCTACACAATGAGTGGCTTAAGCAAAAGCAAACACTTTGCAGAGTTATGAGTACCTTCAGTTGTACTAGGCAATTCAAAAAACAATGTGAGAATTTATATTAAAGTATACAAATAGAACATGCACTTCTATTTGAAAAACAGGACCTATGCTTATAAAAATTATATATTTGTTTTTTCTGAATCTTTTACTTGATGATTTCAAAGCTATTACAAAAGCATGCGCTTAGAAGAATCATATACATGTGTATGATTTCACTTGGAAAGATCATATATAAAAATTGCAACTTGAAAATTTTTTGTATAAAAGTTGGTACATGTCATAGCAAAGAATAAGCAAGGTCAATTTTTCTCTTCTCAGTTCTGATTTCTGAGCCACAAATTGTTTTAGCTATGTGTAAATAGCCATTTCTTGTTTTCTATTCTGATTTAATAAGGATGTTTGCTTTTTCATATTGATGGCAACTTTGTCCTCTTTTTTTCCTTAGACCATGGTAGCATTTGACATGGATGGCAAAGTACGAAAACCTAAGTTTGAACTTGACAGTGAACAAGTTCGATATGAGCACAGATTTGCTCCATTCAACAGTGTAATGACACCACCACCAGTGCACTATCTGCAGTTTAAGGTGAACCTGTTCATTGAAATAATTATAAAATATTTAGTCCTACACCCTCTTAAGAGAGGTGGCATTGGTACCTAGTCATTTTGTTAAGGCAGTCAAATCAAGCTATTACTAGATCAACGGGGTAAGGTCATAAAATAACAGTTTTAAATAGTGTGAAAATTATTTGACTTTGTTTGGATTTACTAATATTAACAGTTATTTAAGTATGAGAATAATTTGTAATGTGAAGATAAAATATTGAATATTACATAGGGAAAAATGAGGATACAGGATCAATGAATGGATAATATAAAATTCTTTAATTGCAAAAGAAACTAGAGCTTTTCTTGTTAATAAACATGTTCTGAATAATAGTATTTGCCTCCTTTTAGGAGATGTCTGACCTCAATAAATACAACCCTCCTCCTCAGTCTCCAGAACTGTATGTGGCAGCTAGTAAGCACTTCCAGCAAGCAAAAATGATACTGGAAAATATCCCAAACCCAGACCATGAGGTAAGATGGCAGTCCCAGTAATTCTAGAGAAAAAACTTGGTAGACGTATATATTTTACTATTAGATGGCTGTGATTATAAAAATAAATTTCATACTATTAATAAATTAAGCCTGTCCTGTTTCTGGCAAAGATTTCAAATGACTTTACTAACCTAATTTTGTCAGACTATATTATTTAATAAAGAGGTGGTATAAATACCTCCTTTGTGTAAATTTAGAAATGAATGCAAAGAGAAATTAAGACTTGTGACCATGAAGTAATTACGGAGAAAAGGAATAAAATTCAGATTGAGCCATAGCTCAGAAATGTTAGCATTTAAATTTTTTTACTTTTAATTTGTAGTTCACTATTGAAACATAATTACTTAAATCTAAAATGTGAAAAAGAATCTGTCAGTTATCACAAGTAAAACCACCTTATTTCACTTGACTGTTTAAAGTAAAGACCATTTAAAATAAAAACTTTGAAATAAAGTTTTGAAGATTTTGTGATATTCTGCAGAGCTAAAAACTTACAAAAATAGCTAATGGCTTCAGATTTTTGTTATTTTCACAATTTACTAGTGTATACCTAATTTTATTGTAATGCATTTATTCTGTTAATGAGAGTTACCTGTAACACACAGACCATTTCAGGGAGTACATCTTGATACAGCATCCACGGAAAGAAAATTTAGTAGTATCAGTCAAAAGTCACAATTGTTTAGGACCAGCAGTTCTTCTTGAGATTTATTGTATAGATATATGTGCGCATGTGACAAGTGTGGAAAAGTAATGGATGTATATGAGTATTCATTTCAGCAGGGTTACTGATAGCAAAAAACAACTTTAGTGTCCTTTAGTAGGAAACCATTAAATTATACATTATACAGTAGAATACTATGCAGTCTTTAAAAGGGCAAGAAAGATCTTTATGTACTATAATGGACTATCCTCAGGATAAAAGAAGTTTAAAAGGCAAGTACTAGACAGCATATATAGTATACTACCACTTCAACCTCAAGGAGCCACGGATGACTATATGTATATTTATAAGGGTTACTAATAATAATTATATTTACTCCTTGGTAGGGGGTACTACTAAGTGGCTTGGGGAACAGGAATAAAAGTATGATTTTTATTTATGTCTTTGAAGTACCTTTATTTAACACATTGTACAACGTAACTATTTGTATCTATAATATAAAAGCATTTTGACTATGAATTTTATATTTGATGGTCATTTCTTAGGTCAACAGAATTTTAAAGGTCGCCAAACCCAATTTCGTGGTGATGAAGTTATTGGCAGGAGGACACAAAAAGGAATCTAAGGTAAGTACATTATTATAAAAGTTGTTTTTTTCCCTTTCAAAAAGATGGCATATTACCCCCCAAAAAAGCACTCATAAAACATCAAGTTCAGCAACAGAAAATAAATTCACCAGAACTTGTCATTTTGCTTTGAAATTTATATTTTGCTGACTTAAAATTTCTAAAATCTGCTTTTTGACTTATGAATTACTGAATGACATGCGATCAAAACGAAAGTGTATCAAAAAAAGTTTATGCTTTTAGAAACATGAAGACTATAACAGTTAGACCTTTTTTCATGGCTCAGGAAATGGAAGATTCTGTAAGTTTCCCTTGATAAAGTTGTTATATCATCAGTGCTATATCACCATTCACAGAAGTTCTGCATTATGGAACTGAGGCATTTTTTATGGCATTTTCCCATTATATGTACCAATCCTTTTCGGTAATTCATCTTCTTTATCTCCTGCCTTGTTTTTCCAGTGACTCACTGTATTGCTTAGTAATATCAATGACCTTGAAACTAAAAAAGTTTGCTGAACCATGACCCTCTTTCCTGTAATTTAAGTCCATTTTCCTTTTTAACTGTTCTCTGAAAATGGACAACTAATGAGCATGTTTTCTAATGACTTTCGTAAACCTAGAGATAAGCTAATTATTTTTCCTCTTCAGGTTCCTTCCTAACAATGTTTTTTGTCATTAAGCCAATTTTTAATATCTTTTGTGCTATACCTTCCCTCTCAGAATGAAAAGCTCTAAAATAAAATGTCTTTGTTTACTGTCTGAATATTTGTAGATACATAATTGACTGTTAGGTTTTCTTCACAGGTTCCTCCTGAATTTGACTTCTCTGCTCACAAATATTTTCCTGTTGTGAAACTTGTTTGAAAGAGACTGTGATCATAAATGGGTAGGCACTACTTTTTAGATTCTACTCTTAGAGGATCCTCCCATGTCTTACCACAACATGAAGTGAAATGGATTTCTTGGATAACAGCCCATTATAAGGAATACTTTTAATTTGACAGCCTTACATGGTGTGAATGAAAACTGCTGTTTTAAAGTGGTTTATTATGTTCCATGGATGAAATTGGTCTTACTGAATGCATTGCTGAACGTTATATGGTTTTATTATTACAGATTTAATCATAAATCATTTTTTATGAATGAATGAAAATAGTGTTTGTAAAGGTTAATAAATTTCTTGACAAAAATGCACTACTGGAGATAAAAAACAATAGTACTTTGTTGGTACATGTTGCCAACTAAAGGTGTTTACTCTTTAACATTTGAGTAGTTCACACACAAATTATCCAAAAAGGTTTCAAATCAAGGAGTCTAGTAAAATTCTTTTATGGGATTTTGGCAAAATACATTTAAAACGATTTTTTGTGAGGAGACTACATGAAGATTGTGATTTTATGTTATGACATCTTAATTTATATACTTGTAAGAGAATATAGATGTTTTTAGAAAACATGTTACTTTTGGCACTTTTAGAAGACATTTGCTAGTGACGTTCAAAAGGTAAAAATGTAGATTGTTAATTTTTAGGCTAGGTTTAAATGTGACATATTCCTTTTTGTTTACTAGTTCATAGTCAGCTTAACACAGGAAACATTTTCAAATGGGGTCTTTTCCAGTGTTCTCCAGATTTAAAAATAGACTCTCTCCACGTGCCCAGTGCCAAAAGACCCCACCCTTTTTTTTTTTTTTTTTTTTTTTGCTGCTCTTTGTCCTCTCGTCTCTGCTCTGCTCCTCTGTTTCATGCTGCCATGTCAACTGTCCAGACCTCTGGGGACTTCTCTTTCGTCCTCCTTAGGGGGCAGTAGTAGTAGCAAAATAAGCTACATACACTGTGACTAAAATTGGCTTTTGTGGCTTGGCCTAAGACTAACATTCTTTTATATCTGATGTATGGTAAAAGGGGTTCCAAGCTTTAACTCTGATTTGACACCTTTATAAATACAAAGGTGATATTAAAACTTTATTTCTGGAACTTTTTTTTTTAAGATTTATTTATTTATATAAGCACTGGGGTACAGGCCAGAGGCGTGAGAGGGTGAGAGAATTCACCAGAGGCAGAGCAGGGAGCAGAACAGGCAGACTGACTGAAATACACTGCTGAGGGGAGCAGCGGGTGAGACAGGAGAGGTCTACCGTGCCATGTGGGTATCTCCCTGGCCAGCCTGGAATTGAACCAGTGCTGCAGAGGCTGCGGACAGCTTCACAGTGATGCGCTTAACCCGCTGCACCACCTGGGAGGCCCTTTCTGGAACTATTTTAAAGCAGCTAATCTGACTGAATCTTGCCTGATACGGTGGTGCTTGTTATAGGTTAAAAATTTTCCTGACTTCTTTCTTCTCAGGGCTACTTTTCCAAAAGTGCTTAAATTTGTGTTATCCAGAAACAGCCAATAGACACAGAACCTAGAAGTGTTAGCAACAACAACAACAAAAAAAAATAGCTTGTACAATAGCCACTTAAGCTATGGGGAGATAAAGATGAAGGACACACCTGTAGTTATCTGCTTAATTTATTTGTTGGTAATTTCTGGGAACTCTAAAAAAAGCAAAGAAATGGTAGGAAACAGAAAATAGAATAGTTAAAAGAAAAAACGAGAATATAAGAAAGAGCAGCAACATTTAGCAAACAACTGAGAAACTGAGGCAAGATTTAAAGTGGATCCTTGCCTCAGGGGCTCTGCTAAATGATGGGCTGGCTCACTCTGGCATTTTTAAACATGACATGGCTTTTATGGGTCAGCTAATATAAAGGAAAATAATTGAGGTAGCAAGGATTCAACCTAATTTGAAAATGTCTGGGCTGTTTTTTAGGAGTAGATCTTCCTAAGAGCAAGAGTCTTCCTATGAGTCATCAACTGAAAGACAAAATATTTATTGTATTCATTGAAAGAAATGTGTTTTTCTTTAGTAACTTCAGTATTTTTTTAACTGCAGGTTCCCTAATCAGAAAATTGAAGTTGCTTTTAGAACTTTTAAAAAAATCTGCCATGCAAGAACCTAAAAAACAATGGGAGAAATAAGACAGTCTCTTTTCACAGAATTTATAACCTTATGAAGAATGCAGAAAAGCAAACAGGTATTTAAAAACTGAGAAAAATACAGTATGCTGGTGTAGGAGAACCACCTAAAGGTACATGGAGAAAGTCACCATTTGGGGCACCGTGGAGCCTCAAAGGTTAATAAAGCAGCATTAGCTGTAACGGGGCCTTAGCAGGTAAATAGACATGTACAGATCTAGAGGTGAAAGGGAGGCAGTTTGACATAAGTGTGGAGCAGGAAAAGGGATTTTGGAGAACTAAGATCGAGAGATTAGGGGAAGGCCAGAATTTGGGGAGCCAGGTTAAAGAATTTGGACTTTATCTTATGTGTTGGTGGGTACCATTAAAGAGTTTGATGCAAGGATGATGGGGTCAAGTTATATCTGTTAATCTTCTCAGGCAAAGTAAAAAGCAGACAAGACCAGAGAAAGTAGTTTGGGGAGAGAAAATAAGGTTTAAAAATTCAAACATTGAGCCAAGCTTCAAGGAAAATGTGGTGCTTTATTTTGTTCTGTTGACTCCTAGAATAACCTTTTAAATGAGCCCATTTCAAAATCCTAGAGAAAGGATCCTGAGTGTTATATAACAAGATTGTCCTTCAAAGAAAAAAAAAAAAAAAAAAAACAGCAGCTGTATACTGCTGCTCCAGGTCACAGAACTACCTTAAATAATATTCAGATGTTAACTGATTTTAATGCAGTAGCTTTTTTAGAGAGTGAAAACCACTTAGATAAGCATTTCCGTTCTAGATAAAGACAGATGTGATGTATCACCCTGCAGGTTCTGTCATTTCACTTCAGCTTTAAGAGACAAATTAGTATAAAACAAGCAGCATCAGGAACTCTTCCTCAAAGATGATTTATTTATTAAAACTGAGTTTACATCCTAATTTCCATATATTTAACATTCATTCTAAAAAGGCTAAATCTAAGATTAACTCTATTTCTAAAAGTTTTTTAAAGGGCAAGACTTCAGTTACATGGAAAATTAGGTTCTGTAGGACCATACCTCTGATGAGTCACATTTACTTATTTTGACTTTAAATTTCTAATACCCATCAGTTTTAGGATCTCTGTAGAGGGATATAAAGTTGTACAAACCAGGTATGGCCATTGTCACTCAACTCAGGATTTTTAGGAAGTATAATTCTAAGGGGTAAAATGAGTATCAAGCATTTGTCTCAACTGGTCAGGGCCCTGGTTTATAAAAAAGCTCATCTGAATTTTATATCTCATTTAAAGATGAAAATATTTCAAATCAAATCATTTAACTTTCCCAGGCACACCAACAAGGATGGAAACATTTCATTTTTTTTTTTTTTTCATTTTTTTCTTAAAGTGCAATAGGAAAACACCTATTTTAAGTAACCCATAAACGTATACATTTTACAAACCTGTTTTTAAGGGGCAGTGACTTAGTACATTTTAAGAAAATGCTGCCCTCTGAACTGAGGGATAGCACATAAACCTACAGACATTTATACATATAATTAAGCTTTCTCCAACTTTGATATTAATGAGTATGCACAGTCTAAGCTAACCATATGAAAAAGTGTTAATATAACCCATCATAAATGGAAAATTTGTATTTCTAAAATTCATTTCAAAGGCATCTTAGAAGTTGAATGTTGTATAAACTACAGTCTGTTTGTAATTTTGGGAGTAGGTTTTTCTGGACCTTAGATGACCCTGAATTCACAATTCTTTCCACCGTTTCAGGTTTTACTGTGAATAGCTAACCAGCTACTGCCAATTAAAACAACCATGCTATTAATTTAGCGATTTAATGGCAGCATGCTGATTTATAACAGGTAATAGTTTTTTTCTCAAGTTCCATCACACAAAATAAAAAATTGCAGTGATTGTTCATAAAACCTAATCCAGGATTATGACAAATGAATCATCACGCCTGTCAGTCTGCACCCCATTTGAAAATATAAACAAAGGTGTGAAATTAGTTTTATACCTAAAAAATTAGCATAGCTATTTATTTGATTGTGGATGAAAAGACCAAGGTCAGGGTTTGATATCTACTTAATGTTTATTACACAAGTTTTGTGTTTTGTTTTTCCCTTTTAAATAACTACGACTAAACAGTCACCTTGGAATAGGCACCTGTGCCCCTAAGGGAGACTAATGGTAATAAATCATGTCTGCCTAGAGAAGTAGCTCAAAGTATATACTTCCTGAATCAATGGCCTTTTTGTGACTCTGTACATGAAAATGAAATCATCTGGTTGCTATTTATTTATACTGATATTCCACATGAGGTTTAATAAGACAAACCACTATCCTTAATCCACAATTTAAGTTGATTCTTTAGAGACAGAATAGGGGATGAAAGCAGTTTTAAAAGCTGAACTAGCAGTATTTTATTTCTTGGTAACTATGCACATTGATTAAACTTGGTGTTTTACTATTAGGCTTTACCGAGAAAGCAAGAGGGGAAAATCAACCCTAAGACCGTAAGACAGAGAGGGAGGTTGAACACAACCTTAAGTAATATAATAAAGCTACTTTTATAATACCCTTCTTCAGTGGGCTTTCCTGGGTGGAAAAGTTTAATCTTAGTGGTTAGGTTAAAGGATTTTATACATGAAGAACGTTCAGGTTAGAGATCTTAACCTAAATAAAAACCAGAACCTGCATTCCATGATTGCCAGGGCAGAGTGAGTCCATGTGTGTCGGTCCTCCACCTCCCCCACTTCACCCTCCCTGGCCCGAGGTGAGAGACCAGGTATTCCAGCTATCTGGCATGCATTTAAGCTCCATGAATTCTCTGGGTCCTGGTTCTCTGAAAGGAGGCGGTTATACCAAGTGATCAGAGGTCCCTGCATCTCAAATGCAAGGACTTCAAACATGCTAAACTGTGCCCCACTGAAAGTCAATGTGACTTTGACAGTCATTCACAAAACTGGCAAGAGCAGTTTACCTTAAATAAAAACCAGCTGAAGTCAAACCTGATGTCACTTTTGTCAGTGTGAATTATGATTAGTCGTTTTCAAATTAACATTAATATTTGGTTTTCAAATCTAATTTGCTACAAGCTGAGACTTAACTGTTGCATTTCTCTTGACTTTCTATACTTCCCAAATTTGTAACACTGTATATCCCGGTCAACATCCACCATCTTCCTCTAGTAGTAGAGTAAGGTGGTTTGTCACCATTAACCTCCCCTCCACCGTGCTCTACTGCCCTCTCTCTGTTCTGCCAGATACCTGAGTTTAGCTCTACTTTGGCCCCAATTGTGTCAAAAGTCTAATCCACTAGTGGCTTTTCTTAGTAATAAGAAGTCATTCCAAAAGATCTGCTTTTGCCCACACAATTAAGCAAAATAAGTATAGATCACAAGTGTTCAAATTACAAATCATTTAAAACTATTTAGTCCATTAATGACAAGTATTATTATACAAGCAATCTTTTTTTTTTTTTTTTTTAAACAAAATTCTTGCACAAAACACTTTTGTATTTAGACTCATTTGAAACTGTTCCTAGTGATGTTTTTGCTGACTGTCAGTACTCTGGGCCAATGACTGTCACAGCTGGAGTAAGCTTATCAATAAAATTATTCAGTGCTAACCTGGGAGAATAAATAATTAGCTGGTACCAGCCACTCTGCACAGCATGTGAAGAAATGACTCCAGGGAGAGGTAAGAGGCGTTCTCTAAGAAGAAAGACTTCCTACACTTTGTTTAAAAAAACAAAAGTTATATTCCAAAATAATCAAGCGCCACTGTAACCATACTTGAACTTCCTCTTTTTGTCTTGATCTTCTCATGAAACACCTATTAGCCAAATAATTTTGACAAATTGTGAAATATAAACATTTAAAAAGTATCCCCCAAAAACTGCCTAAAAAAGACAGTTTTCCTAGATAAGTACATACTAAAACTCCACAATTATCATCCTTAGATATGTATTTTTTTCACTTGGTACTTTTCACAGTATTCAACCCCTCATGAATATTTTGTAGTGATCTCTGTTTAGACCTAACATGAAGTATCTGATTCCAGTTTGATTCATTCAGTGTGATTCCTCTATTCATGTTGATCAAGTAAATTTATCATGTTTCTTTCTGATTTTCAGCATTAAGAACTAAAAAGGGAAAAAAGAAAAAAGCATGTTGAGAAATCAACCTAGGCATATCCCATTTAACATTAAGTATGTGGAAACTATTGGAGGAAATCCTAACGTGGAATTGCATTCTTAATCAAGCAAGAGACCATGTATCACGAACCAGGTGCAAGAAATAAAACATCTAAAAACCCCATAATTACTTAAACAGTGAAAAGATGTCCTACAAATCAGACAATAGAAAGTATATTCATAAATACACTTATCAGAAACCTAATGTGCCACTGCAGCTTCCACAGGAAGCACCCTGCCTCCTAAGAGCCATCTGTGACTTTGGTCAGTTGCTACTCCAAAGCTCTTTGACGGAGCTGAGGTCTGTATCACCGTGATTCCTACTTTATTCTTTATGTATGTCTATTACTTTGACATATAAAGGACATAAAAGACATCACATTAAATCTAAAAAGTTTTCTCATTTATAGCTATTGCACATTACATGGTGAATTGTAAATTGACTGCCTTAAATTAATAGTGTCTCTAATATAAAGTTGGAGCTAATGCTGCTTCTGATTTGCCTAAAGCAAACAAGGTCTTAAGCTGGTATTTCTTCATGTTAAAACTTTGCCAGCTCCTTTAAGAAATTATCCTCTTGCCTACCTTCTCACTTTGTTTAGAATCTTTGTACAAGGTCAAATTCTTAGGACACCAAGGTGTAGAGAATGAGAGATCCTAATACTTAACTGCTTAAGGCAATCACTTAGTAGGACACTAGGCTCATTGAAAAGCAACATACTGTTAAATCAAGCACAAATAAGGGTTGCCCCTGTGGCCTAGGGGGTTAAGGCTCAGCGCTAGCAACCTAATGCCAGCCACTGCTGCCTGAGTTCGACCCCCGGCTCGGGAGCTAACTCACATCCTGAGGCAGCAGAGCCTCTGTCTTGCCTGCTGCTCCACCTAGTGGTGTCTTTCTCCACACTCCCCTCCCCTCTCCCTTCACCCTTCACCCTCCTCCCCTCTCCCTCCCCCCCCCATTCTTCCCCCCTCCCCCCCCCAATAAATCAAGGGGACGTTCTAGCAAACAACTGATCAGAACACTTCAAAAAATATTGTCATAAATGATAGCAAAAGGCTAGTAAAGGGGTATGGCATTAAACACAGCAGGGGATCCTGGATCACAAAGGGGAAATGAAAGGTGACTTCATCACAGTTATTACCATTTAAGTTTTTATCATTCCCTGCAAGCGCTGCCTGTTTGTCTGTTTCAGATTCTGCCTCATTTTCATCCATATTGTAGTCGTCATCTCCCAGTTTTTGCTGGTTTCTCCCTATAAAAGATCAGGACAAAACACACTCAAGAAACATTGTAGGGGTTTAATGTAAAATATTTCTCATACAGAGTTAGGTAAAATCTTTCTTTAAAAAGCAAACCTATGAAAGTCAACTCTGGTTCTATTTCCCTGCACAAAAGCCTGACCTAGAGACGAAGCACAGGCCTAGATGCCCCAGAGCTTTCTGTACGTCAGCTCATTACAGCTGCACCCAGAACAAGGTGGTCTGCCAGGCTTAGCAGGACTCCGCCCATACAGAGCTAGTTCACTTTTGTACCAGCCGCTGAGTGGTGAGAAGACTGAGCATCACTGGGCGAGCCACTCTTCTTCCCTGCCATAGACATGAAGGGGGTGAGCCATGACCTTCTGGAGGGAGGGCAACAAAATACAGTTCTTCAACAGAACTTGTAAAAAACATGCTTCAGAAAGAAAAACAAGTGAAAATTGTATTTTTATGCACTCAGGGTGACTTCCGCAAATAAGCATTCCCCAACATCTTATTTGGTCAGTTACAGAGCACGTTGTCAAAAAGGCCCCTGATGCAGCAAAGACTGACATTTTCTACATCTTAAAGGGATGGAAATTATACCGGAATATTCTGCTCATGTCAGTTTCCCATTCTTTGCTGTATTTCTCTCAAAAAGAGCAAAATCAACCAGATGAGAAAAGTGGGATGCTTCTCCACAATGCTCAAATAATGCCTAAAACTCCATTACTCACTTGCCTTTCAGGGCACCTGTGTATATTTGATGCCAAGCTTCTCAAGGCTTTCATGTGAAAAGGTCCCTCAACTCCCTATGAAACTTATTACTGACACTGCGCCTCCCTGGTGGCCTAGGGGTTAAGTCTCTTGCTGTCACCTTGATGGTCACCTGAGTTCGATCCCCAGCCAGGGAAATAATCCACATAAGGCACAGCATACCCCTCCTTGTCTTGCCCACTGCTCCCCTCAACAGTGTATTTCAGTAGATCTACCTGTTCTGTTCCCCACTGTGTCTGGTGAATCCTCTCAACCCCGCATCGCTGGCCTACCACCCCACCACCCCCGCCCCAGTTCTCTTCTATGCGGCAAAAAAAAGTTATTACTGACACATGGGAATGCACTGCTTTTCCCTCCTACTTGAGCCACCAAAGTGTGTGCTACCATCAGTAACCTTCAGGGGGCCTTTCCTGGCTTGGAAAGAGACTGGGGTGAAGGTGTCAGTGGGCAGCAGAGGGGCTTCTCACCCATGTCCTCATCAGCGTCCTGCTGCTCCTGCCCATCCCGGATGACCAGTTGGTCCCGCTCAGGGCCCTCCGTCTCCTGATTTTCCTGGCTTGCCAATGGGACAGCTGGCACCTGTGGGGTCTCGCGAACATCACCAGCTTCTCCAATGCCCCTTTCATCCACAAGTCCGTCGTCTTCCAGGGCTTGCCCTTTTCCTGGCTCCTGCGGCAGCCCCGGACTGTCCCTCGGAACTTCCTCCTCACTAACGACCTGAATCTCGTTGGTGTCCGCTGTGCCTGGAACACAGTTGCCCGTGATCTCACTTGCATTTAACTTAACTGAAACCAAGACCTCACACCAATGACTCCAGACTCTATACCTCATTACATCTTCAGACCCATGAAGAGACAAGTGGCTTAAAAAAAATACCTGGACTAAAGTTATTTGAAGACAGCGGGGCTAGCTCTAAGTGGAGAAGGGTGCACTTCGGGGGTTATCTGATCGTTCTAGCTCAGACAGGTACCCAGGAACCAGAACAGGCTAACTCACTCAGTCTGCACACATACTGGTCCCGTGACATGCCTACGACTTAGCTGCCTCCCGTTAACCCCACAATCCCGCTGATCTGAAGACAGGCATAGCCCGTATCTTTCCTTACACAGCTGCCAAAGAAAAGATGCTTAGTTTATAAGGACGTGACATAAGAAAGAACAAAAAGGCCTTGTGTCCAGAGAGAGAGATTCACATGCCAGCCCCTTGGTTGACTCAAATAGTATACTCTGCCCTGGTAACAGGTGCAGAGCATGGAGGACATGAACTGCCTCTTTCTCATTTGCGTGAATCTTGCTGAGCATTGCTTACCTTTCTCACTTTGTCTCTTCAAATCCAAAGCCACCTCAGAACCTGGGGCGGGTGTTTGGAGCTCACCATTGATAGGCACCTTTCCTTTCACTTGTGGCACCTCTGCCTGTGGAAGGCCTGCCTCCTGCAGCTTGGGCTGAGGTTCACTGGGGGCTCGAAGCTGAAACAGGAGCACAGGTGTCCAGGCAGGACCTCCATGACATAAACCTTCCAATAACCTCCACCAACAAAATGAGCCACCATGACCCTCTGACAAATGAGAATAGTGAAACCCTGAAGAGTGACATGAGGTATCCCAATTGTCCCCTATGCCCTGGCATAAATCAGGAGATCTAACACTGAGTCAAGAGCTCCCAGAATGTACTTTTAATAAAGGCCTGACAGGAGACAGAAGGTCAACAAGGAAAAAGGAGACTGGAACACTACAAATCAACTCGACCTAACAGACGTCTGTGGACCACTTGACTCAACGAGCAAAACAAATTCTTCAAAATGAACATGGAATGTTCTCTAGGACAGACGTGCCAGGCCACATGCCTCAAAACAACAGAAAATTATGTTTTGGTTATTAATGTGTAATGTCATTTCATTGTGATTACAAAAGAAATTCAATGACATGTAGAAATTAGACAACATATTCCCAAATAACCACTGGCTGAAAGAAATCACAGCGAAAAATTAGATAATAACCTTGAGAAAAATTAAAAACACAACACAGCAAACTTATGGGAGATAGCCAAACCAATACTTAGAGGGAAATTTACAGGCCTCACTCAAGAAAAAAGATCCGAAAACCTAATCTACCTTAAGATACTGAAGAAAGAAGAGGGAACTGAACCTAAACAAGGAAAGAAAGATTAGAGCAATAATGAAGTAGGGGGCCTCTCTGGTGGTGCAAGGGGTTATACTGCACTATGAAGCTATCCGTAGCCACTGCAGCATGAGTTCAATCCCTGGCCAGGGAGCTACCCACATGGCACAGCAGACCTCTCCTGACTCTCACGCTGCTCCCCTCAGCAGTGTATTTCAGTCAGTCTTCCTGTTTTGTTCCCCACTCTGTCTCTGGTGAATCCTCTCACCCCACCCCCCCCCACCTCTGGCCTATACCCTAATTCTTGTATGCATAAATAAATTTTTAAAAAATTAATGAAGGAGGGGCCTCCCCTTGTGGCGCAGCAGTTGAGTGCTGGGCTGCGAAGCTGCCTGCAGCCTCTGCAGTGCCAGTTCGATCCCCGGCCACCAGTGAGGGTCCCACATGGTGCGCAGACCTCTCCTGCCGCCCGCTGCTCCCCTCAGCAGTGTACTTTGGTCCTTCTGCCTGCTCTGTTCCCCGCTCAGGCTCTGGTGAATTCTCTCACCCTCCTGTGCTTCTGACTGTGCCCAGTGCTTGTATGAATAAATAAATCTTTAAAAAAAAAATTAATGGAGAAAAATCAATGAAAACAAGAGAGTGGCAGATTAAAAAACGAACAGGTTAAGAGAAAAAAAGACTTCAATTATAGAAATAATAAAATGAAAGGGGACAACACTACCAACCATATACAAATTAAAAAGTATGAGGGAATATAAGCAACTATTTGCCAACAAGGTGATACTGTATATGAAATATGAAGTGCTCCTAGAAAGACACAAACAACCAAAACTGACACACAAAGTGAAAAATCTGAGTAGGCTCATAGCAAGATATTGAGTCAGTGATTCAAAATCTTCCCCAGGGCCTTCCCCAGCCAGGAGCTAACCCACATATGGCGCAGCAGACCTCTCCTGTCTCGCCCGCTGCTCCCCTCAGTAGATCTGCCTGTTCTGTTCCCCACTCTGTCTCTGATGAATCCTCTTACCACCCCCATCTCTGGTCTACACGCCAGTTCTATGCAAAAATAAAATAAAACAAAACAAAACCTGCCCCCAAAGAACTACCATAGCTTCAGATAGCTTCACTAGTGAATTCTACCTAGCATAACTTTGTGTATATGCTAAAAACCATGGAATTAAAAACATTACATGGGTAAATTGCATGGTATGTGCTATGTTTAAAAGCAAAAACAGATTTCCTCAGAAGGCCTGGACCAACAGTTGCCTGTAGGCTTTCATGTGCTTCACGCAGGAGGCAGCCTGAGGCTCTGGCTCTGACAGTTGGGCACTGGCCACAGTATCTGACCATCTGCATGGGCTGCAGTGCCCTCAAAACAGGAGAACAACTCTCGGGGTAGTTGTGACCTTTCAGTGAAGTGATCCCTGTAAGGCCCCGAGCATAGGACCAGGGGCAGCGTGCTTGGTCACACTTAGAACATCCTGGACCAGGGATGCCCTGCTGTCTCTCAGGGAACCAGACCCCTTGGATTGGATGGCAAAGGTTAGAGCAAATCAGACAGCAGATGGGGGTTGGGCGGGGGTGGGGTGGAGGGAGGAGAAATGCCTGAAGGAATACCTTCTGGCAACCCTTAGCAGAAGCAGGGCAAAAGCAACTACCTGCTGGCTTTGGTCTCTTTTTTCACTCAGATCTCTGGAAGCTTCATATCCCTTTTTAGTGACTTCTGCTATTCGCTCTTCACACTGTTCCTTCACCTCTTTCATTTGATTGATGCACTGGCTCCTTTGGGGAGAGAAAGTAAAGAAAAGATGAATATTTATGGATGTGCTTACACACTAAGTATTCCCCTGCTATGACTGTGAAATCCACTTCAAAACACAGCTTCAGGCACTTTGCCTGAGGACGCAGTCAGGAAGGGCAACGTGTTCAATACCAAAATGATTGAAACATACTAAAAATCTGCCACATTCTTCTAAAACAAGTGAACTTTATTGGTTAGGGGGGAAAAAAAACTTTATTGATCTTTGCTATTATTGGCAGAGTTCCCAAAACCTATGGAGTTTCGTGAGTAACAAAAATGCCCCATGTTATTCATAATGAATCCCAGCAGACCACACCTGAGCTTACGCTAATAATGACTCGCTGGAGTCTGCACAGTTTCAGGATAGGGACAGGCGGCCAGAGGAACCAATCACATGGAGGATTCGGATTTACCACCCCCACCCCCCAGGGAACGGGGAGGGACTGGGAAATGAATTCAATCCTGTGACCAATGATACAATCAATCAGACCTATGTAATAAGACCTCAGATAAAATCTCTGGATCATCAGACTCCATGTACCTCCTGGCTGATGAACAGATCTGCACAGCAGAAAGATCCGCTCAACTCATGGGGACAGGAGCTCCTGCCCTCCCTCCACCCCAGGCATTGCCTAATGAGTCGCTACCATTTGATTATTCCTGAGTTGCCTCCTTAAAAAAAAAAAAAAGGTGATTGTAAGTACAGAGCCTTACTGAATTCTGTGAGTGGTTCTAAAGAATATTGAGCCTGAGGGGATGGAGGGAAAGCCTAGAATCTGTGCAAGCCAGGCAGACACCCAGAACTTGTGGCTGGTGTCTGAAGTGGGAACAGTCTGGTGGGGCTGAGCCCTTTCACCTGTGAGGTTTGTGCTAACTATGGAGTGTTAAAATTGAACTTCCACTTCCGAGAAGAGGGAGTAGGTGTATTTTCTCCTAATTCTTCCTGACAAACACAACTGGCAGTCTGGGCATCATACTGGAAACAAACACAAGAAAACTGAACGGTGGAAAGAAGGAACATCAGGCTCTGAAGAGCAATGCACTGAGGTGAGTGGAGAGTGAGCGCCCACACTTCAGCCCCACCTGACAGGAAGGCATTCCCGCCCCCATCTGCCGGATGGGGTAGTGTCACAGGATGTCAAAACTTGGGGCTCTCTTCACCATCCGAGGTTTCAATTGAAATTCATCTGTCAAACCAAGAACCAGGAGGATCTCAAATAGCATGAAAGGGGACAACAGAAAAGGGACAACTTCTACATGACAGAGAAGTTAAAATTATCTAAGATTTTAAAGCAGCCACCCAAAAGATATTTAAATGACCAATTAAACTCATTCTTAAAAAAAATGAATAGTCTCAGCAAAGACAGAAATCCTTAGCAAGGAAATAGAAGACATAAAGGGGAACCAGATGAAATTCTGGCACTGAAAATTGTGATCACCAGAATAAACTCCAAAGGAAAGTATCGCTGAGCTGGAAGATAAGCAATAGTTATCACCCAATCTGAACAGCAGACAAGAAACCGACTAGGGGAAAAAAGGGCTCTAGCGTCAGGGACCTGTCTGACCCTAACAAAAAAGCTGGCGTTCACACCGCTGCAGTCCGGGAAGCCCACGGAACTCCTCATTCTGCAGCCCATCAGAACAGTCACTGACCTCCCCAACAGTACAGCCCCCCTCCCGCCAAGTCCTAATCTCCTTTCTCCACGTCCTGTTCTTTAGGACTCAATTCTAAATGGTCTTCTCAAAAGTCCAATTTAGGGGAGTAAATAAGCGCTCAACTAGCCTGGTTAAGAAAAGCACTTTCAGGGCCTCCCAGTTGGCGCAGCGGTTGAGCGCTGGGTTGTGAAGCTGCCCGCAGCCTCTGCAGCGCTGGTTCGATCCCCGGCTGCTCCCCGGCCACCGGAGGAGGGTCCCACATGGCGCGCAGACCTCTCCTGCCGCCCGCTGCTCCCCTCAGCAGTGTACTTCGGTCCTTCTGCCTGCTCTGCTCCCTGCTCTGGCTCTGGTGAATTCTCTCACCCTCCCGCGCTTCTGACTGTACCCAGTGCTTGAATAAATAAATTAAATAAAAATAAATCTTTAAAAAAAAAAAAATAAGAAAAGCACTTTCAGGGGCCTCCCCTGGTGGCGCAGTGGTTGAGCGCTGGGCTGCGAAGCTGCCCGCAGCTTCTGCAGAGTCGGTTCAATCCCTGGTCACCGGTGAGGGTCCCACATGGCGTGACAGACCTCTCCTGCCTCGCCCGCTGCTCCCCTCAGCAGTGTATTTCGTCAGTCTGCCTGTTCTGGTCCCCGCTCTGGCTCTGGTGAATCCTCTCACCCCCGCCCCGTGCTTCTGACTGTACCCAGTGCTTGTATAAATAAATAAATTCTTTTTTAAAAAATATTAAAAAGAAAAAAAAGCATTTTCAAAAAGATTAGTTTGAATCAGTTTTGGCTGAATAAAACAAGCCAAAGGATAAAAGCATATTTATCCCTCACATAAAAGATGTCACACAGTAGCTTAAAAACAAAGACATCTGTACGCTGTCAGAAAGTGCCCAATTCACCGTCACCAAACAGTATCCTAGAAGCTCAGGATTAGCCAGTGGGTAGGTACAAGTCATCCCTGACCACTGAATGTACAAAAGAGAAATTCTGTTCACCTGCACTCAGCTGTGCCAAAACGAATCCAATGAGCCTCTGTCTCAGCCTTGCAGATGAAAGCCAGCTTTGCACAGCCCAGCTCAAAGACAATAAAATGAACACTCACAACAGAGCTCAAACTCCCAGACAAAAGCCATGCAGACTCTCAAGGCCTCGGGCTACCTTTGTCTTACATCTACCGAGTAGATGGTCAGGCACTCACTGGAGCTGAAAGGTAGAGACAATGTGGTCACCAGCCGCTGTTGTCACTGCACAGCTGGTGGCCAGGCTGCCACTTGCAAAATGTGCTCAGTACAGGAAATTGCCCCGTAACCTGTCAGTGTTACTGTTACATTCCAGGCACAATATCTGCAAACCCTGCTGCCTCGTGGCATGGCGGTGAGATGTCAAGCAGGTCATCTGAGGCACGAATGCTAAGTACGTACTTTGGGGAGGCCATGTAATGCGATATTGATGACAATAACGTCAGCCACGGATATGGGGGCAAGAAGCAGGGCTGAGGACACACACTGACTTGTGCATCAGAGGGCCTGGCCTGCTGTCAGCTTGTTCTCCTCAGCACTGCATCTATGAAAGGATAAGACCAGGGAGGCCTTATGAAAGAATAAGAGGTGGCTAAGAGGTGTGCAGGGATGCTTCAGAGGTCCCACAAGTGAAACGCATATATCATTTGTAAATTTACTAAAAAGTGCCCATACCCTTTATCAGATATTCAAAATGGATTTGTAATCCCCAAAAAGCTATGGACAACTAACTTTCCATCTTTCAACACCCATCATCCCTGGGGAGCACAACCAGTGACACAGATGCAGGCAGCAGCGCACATATGACCGAGAAATCAGGGCATTAAAATTGACAGAATATCCCAAACGGTGTCAGGTGCCATTAGAAGAGTAGAAAGTCTGCCCATCCACCACCCTCAGGCAACCAGCATCCTGACTCCTGGCACTAGGGAGTTTGGAAAGAGTGCCCCAAGCCTTCCCACAAAGATGAATAAACGCTATCAGATTTGGCTTCAAGAAGGACGCTTGGCACGTGCACCTACACACACCCCACCCCTTTGCACGTCTTTTCTTTCCTCTTCCAAAAATTGCACTAGCTGACATAGAGGAGGCAGCTCTGCCTGTGTAAGTTCAGTATTTTTCAGCCATGTGGGAAAATTTACAAGGCCTTACCTCGTGGTGTCTCCCCAAATTACAATTCCCTGCAGACCCCAAATAAAAGCCTTCTTTCCGCCTGCAAATGAAGCTCTGATTTGCCCTATTACTCTTTAATGTTGGGGTTTTCACTCTCGCTCTCAACCTTGGAGGACAAAAACAGTGCATCCTGCGTCACAGCCATGCCAGGTCGGAGCACTCTGGGCCCCTGTCAGATCCTCCTGCGCAGCTGGCACGGCCCTCTCTGTCAGTGGGCCTGGCTGGCTTCCAGCTGGGTCAGAATCTGCTAGGTCAACATTTACTACATCAGGCCATTGATGGCTTGTTGTGTGTCAGTCAATCAAGGGAAATGGGTGTGTGACAGTCTTTTCAAGAGGAATAAGCGGGTGCACTGCATTTTTTGTCTGAATGCGCCCTGCGGATTGCCAGCCCAGCTCAGGCTTTCTCAACCCGGGCCCGGAGAAAACCGTGGTGGGGACTGACTTGAGCATCATGGGCTGCTGGGTAGAGTCCCTCTCTCTATCCACCCAGTAACACTCTCCCCAGAGCTGCAACTGCAAAAATGGCCCCAAACATTGCCAAGTGTCTCTGGGGGAGCAAAACTGCCACCTGCTGAGAACCACTGACCTAGCAGAGTAAGGATCTGCACGTGTGTTTTCCGATGACGTCTCCTTGGTATTGACTGTGCGTGCCCTTCGTATATTTGTGTGTCCCGGGCTTCCTGTTTCTAGTTGTATTTGGTTTAAAGTGATCAGGAAGATACTGCCATGTGAAGACAATCGTTTGGAAGGGCATCACAATTCCCATGAAGTCAATGGGTGTGAGGAAATTATTCCTATATTGCTGGCACCTATACAGACAAAATCCTTTCAGACGGCACTCTGACAATTTATGCCAAGTGACGTAAACTAAACTTACAATTTTTTAGGTTGTTTTTAGAAAGAAATAATTGTTTTTAGAAAGAAAGAATCCAAAATAATTTTTTGAAAGTTAGATGCACTGATGTTAGTCTAGTTGTAAGCCCCAAAACTTAGAAGTAGCCTAAATACCCAACGAACAGGGAAATGGTGAGTTAAATTTGGTATCTCTACTGTATGGAATACGAAGCAGACATTTTAAATAAAACATTTTAGATCCGTATACCATATATAATATGCAAGTAAATGCAAAAGTGATTTAAACATTTTAAAGCCAACTGCAAAAAATGGGAGGAACTTGGGCAAGGACTAGAGAGAGAAAGTCAAAAGAGGACTGAGGCCATGGGCAGCTGGCTGCTCTGAAGTCCACACTTGCCATGCTTGAGCTCTATTGTTTTTATGAGCTAAAAGGGCCCAGGGAGGAGAGGAGGTTATACAGAATAGCACTTAATTTTCTACCCTTCAAATTTGTTTTTATTCTCTTACTAATGGGTTTAGCTAATTTTTAAAAAGTTTACTGATCTGATCACAAAAATACTCTAAGAAGTACAGTGGTTTTGTATGTGACTAATTTGCTCTGAGAGTAAGTTGTTTCTTGGCAACTTAGAATGCCAAGTATTTTATTTTTAAACGTCTAAACTGGAAAACAAGACAGCTGAGGTTAAGTAACAGTTTTCTAAAGCTGAACAGGACTCAGTTTTTCTGTCCTGAAGCATAAGACAACTTCCTAAGTCCCCTGGGCAGAAGCACTGCTGTGCTGATCTGCTGTGATTAGGTGAGCTGATCAAGCTCGGCTGATAACGTCCTTTTTCTCCTTTGTCAGGGTTTTAAAAATCCTAGGACAGATGCATTTTTCTAGCCTTATACTGACACAGCTTCATCCCAAATGTCTCCTGAGAGGCATATACCATATGCAGGAATCCATCTTCATTCTTTTTCCTTTCACACACTTTAGAAATTGGCAGGTGCACACACCATGCTGTGTCCCTTCACTAACAGGATTGATTAGTGTTACGTCGTTAAGCCTCTCCTGATTATCTTGATGAGTACTCTCGTGTTGATGTGATCAACTACAAGGAAGCTGCCTCTCACCCTTGTATATTTCTATTACCATCAGGATTTTGGTAGTAAAACAGTGCTATAGCCAATCAAAAGGACTGCTGCCTCTCTGGTGGCTTGTTTCCCTTGCTTACCATTAAGACCTATGATGATGCCAAGGGCTCCAAATTCAATTTCAAATTGCTAGAACTGACAGTGAATCTTTGCAGCCTGGGATGGTTGCAAAACAGTAGACCTTTAGTGTTCTCACCACAGCACACCCATACACCACATCCTACCCCACCCCCCAACATCAGACACAATATGGGAGGTGCTGGATGCCTGGTTAGCTCGACTGGGAGCAACCTTTCAGAATGTATGGGCAGATCAAACTCCACCTTGTACACCTTAAATATATGCAATAGTCATTTATCAACCACACCTCAGAAAAGCTGAAAAAATGAAAGCACTCCACTCTCACTGCAGAAATTCAGAAAGACACTCAAAAGATCTCAAGACAACAAAATGCCACAATGCAATAGCAATAAATCATACTGCTCTTCTGGTGAAACGCCTCCTACTCTGAGTTTGGCTTAGGTCACATTTGAGGACACATTTTTAAAGACTTTAGGTTATTGATTTAACCAGGACACTTGCACTTTTTTAGTTATAGTAAGCGGTAAGGTACATTGCATAAGTCACTTCCTGCTACCGAGAACAGCCCTCTTATTTATTTTCTATTAAGAGTCTGCGGGCTGACACTTTTCTGTGGCTTCCGGAAGCATGGCTGACACTTAAAAGTCATTATTTCTAAAGGATGTGACTCCTAGCAGGGCCTATGCCTTTCCCACAGGACCCCGTATGATTCGGAGCAGGAAGGGCAAACAGTCATTTGCTGGACTCCGACCACGGCCCTCAGCTTAGCATGTTGGCCCCCGGTATGTGTACATGGTGCAGACACACTTACAGGTCATAGGAAAACTTCCTCTCCAGGTTGGTCTGGTTCTTCTGAAATTGGAGGACATCCTGCTGCAGCTTGCCGTATTTCTTCTGCAGGGCTTTTAACTGGTCTGAGCCAAGAGAAGGACATGAATGCCACAGGTCACCAGCATGGCCCTCAGGACAGCAGCAGACACAGCAAAACCCACCAGGGGCTCGGCCAGGGCAGTGGCGCACCAGGGACAGAGGGAAGGGAAAGTAAAAGTCAAGTAGATGGCCCCTTCCCAGTAGCCACCACACCCCAACCACAAAAGCTATAATTTGCTCTAAGACCAACAATCCTATCGGAATCTGCCCCTAGAAATGTTTCCAACAGCTCTCAACCTCCTTCTGGACTTCCACCATTCAAAATGGAGGAGGAGGTTCTACTGGCCTGTTTCTTAGACATCATAAGCCCTGAGCTGTTGCCACACTCACGCAGCAGCCATATATCCTCTGGTCTGTAAACACCGATTTCCACATCTGGTCAGAAAAAGCCGCTGTCCTCAGCCACCAGGCTACCCATCAGCACCCATCTGACACTTAGGCACAGCCAAGCCATTCTCTGAGACCCCCTGGGAACAGCCCCATCCCTCCTGCCTGACTACTTGGCTCCTAAAAGCCTCTCAGTAGAATAAAGCAACTTGGTGACCAAGGGCCAAGCTGGGGGCAGAAGGAAAAGCAGCCGCAGGTGACGCTGCAGGGGCAGAGAGCAGCGCCCGGAGCCAGAGCACAGCCATGCCAGCCGCCACATCCCCAAGGTCTGTCTCCACAACACTTGACCCACAAAGCTCTCTGAGGGGGATGGTAAAATGGGACAGAAGTGAAGGAGTCAAGGAGCTGCTGATGTAGCAGCAAGGATGGATCTAAAAAGCACTTGCAAGACCAGACTGCAGGATGAAGAGGCCTGAGGCCAAGGTGGGGCAGGGGCAGGACTACACAGGACTGGGTGTGGGGGTGGAGTTCCTGGAAAGATAGGTCTGTGCCACCTCTAACTGGTGATCTAGGGGCCTCTGCACTTGTCAAAATGTATAGCACTATATGCTATAAAGGGTAACAATGGTTTTATTAGCAAAGAAGGATAAATGGTTGTTGGTTAAGCCACTACTAAAGTCTTCCAAAATAAGAGAAAAACAAATATTTTGCCCATTGCATACCAGTACTTCACAATACAAAGTAAGGCAATGCAATGATCTATGACTACAAAAATCTTCTTTTGTGTCAATATTAGCAATAGAATCCTGAGTCAAATAGTTCACGGATTCGATCAAGTGCAACAAAACCTAGCTTTTAAAAAGACACAGATTTGGGCCTCCCTGGTGGTGCAGGGGCTAAAGATAGAGCGCTATTAAGCTTTCGCCAGCCACTGCAACATGAGTTCAATCCCCAGCCAGGGAGCTGACCCACATGGCGCAGCAGACCTCTCCTGCCTCGCCCACTGCTCCCCTCAGCAGTGTATTTCTATACATCTGCCTGTTCTGCTCCCCACTCTGTCTCTGATGAATCCTCTCACCCCTCCCCCCCGCACCTCTGGCCTGCACATACAGTTCTTGTATGCATAAATGAATAAAATAAATCTTTAAAAATAATAAAAAGACACAGATTCCATAATCAAACCAAGTATGTGGTGAAGGAATACTACTCAGCAATAAAAAGAAAAATGAACTGTTGACATCTACCACAACGTGGATGAACTTCAAATTCATGATGTCAATGAAAGAAGTCAGACCAAAAAAAGCTATGTACTACCTGATCCCAAGTATGCGGAAAAATAAAAAATGCAAACTAATCTACAGGGACAAAAAGCAGATCAGAGGCTGCCTGGGAAGGCTTACCAAGGGGCACAGAGAAATTTCTGGGGGTGACAGATATGTTCACTATCTTGATTTTGGTGCTGGTTTCTTGGAAGTATACACCAATGTCAGCATTTGTCACTTTACAATGTGCCTGATTAAAGCTGTTCAGAAAATATACTAAGTATGGGAAAGGCAGCACCTATATCCCCTTTTTAAATTATTGAAGATTAACTAAAACTACAGTTCTTCTGTCCCACTAGCTACAGTAAATGTTCACTGGCCACGCAGGGCTCGAGGACACCATTCTGGACAGTGAGGCTCCGAGGCTGACCGTCCTCCCTTGCAGGCAGAAACAGGCTTGGGCTTAGGGGAGTCTCCTAACTTGCGGGCAAAGTCGAGACAACGGTCAGGTCAGGAATCGCAGGACCCGCTGCTCCCATCACATTCTACGATCATACTGGACCCTGCTGATCCTCGAGGCCCGGCAGAAGGGGCGCATACCCCACAGAGAGGTTCACCCCCCCTAATTCCACTGCTGCTTCAGAATGGTGGGGAGCAAACAAACCCAAACTGAATTAGAGTAGCAAAAGAATGGAATTAAACTAAGCTGGATCATTTTTATAAGTTTCATAAAGAAAATCTAAATTCTGGGTAAAATGATGAGATCACATATTTCTTGATATATTAAAAAAAAATGAGTCCAAAGTCATGGATGCAGTAGTATTTTTAAAGGGAAAGCTCTTTCAGGCAAAGAGAATAAAAACAAAGACTATTACTCACGATATTCCCCATTACTCAATTAGAATAAGAAACCGCAGAGACAGCCAGAGGAGAGGTAGATTTTTCTGAAAAGGGCCAACATCCCAAGTAAAGGAGGAAGCAGAACTCACCTTGCAGGGTTCTGCTGAGCCTCTCACTGGCAGTGATATTATTCACTAAAGCCGCCTGCAAGGAAAAGAAACACAAAATGAAACACCTGCAACCTAGCAACTGGGAAGAGCCTTGCTAAGAAGGACCTGTTGGCACAGAAGAGCGCAGGCCCTCCGGCGCCCCAGCAGCTGTGGGAGGACCTGGCCCGCGGCCCTGAGTCGGCTATGCACTGCCTGCCGGGAACATGCATGTTAGAGATTGGCTGCCCAAACACCAGCCTGTAACCCGAGGAAGGAGTAAATAGATCCTCTGGCTCTATTTCAGTTGCACGAGCTAATCTTCCTCCAGGAAAGGCCCTGCCAGGCCTGACTTCCCACTCAGACAGCAGCCAGGGCTGAAATGGCAATCAGCACTCTCTCTGGGAAACCCTGCTACGGCCGCATCTTCAATCACAAGGTAAACCGAACACCAGGCTGCTGACAGCAAAAAGAGAAGGTACTTCAGTGACCAGTCTCCCAGGGAAGTCTCTGCTGCACTTAGCTGCCAGCCTCCTTTCTTCTGTCAATTGATCCTATAAGCTGGGGGCGGCAGGGTTCACACACACAGTTCAGAAAGCCAACGATCAAGGAAGGAAGAAGTGGGCCTCCCTGCTGGTGCAAGGGGTTAAGCGTCAGCACTATTAGCAATCCATAGCCACTCAGCACGAGTTTGATCCCCAGCCAGGGAGCAACCCACATGGCGCAGCAGACCTCTCCTGTCTCACCCGCTGCTCCCCTCAGCAGTGTATTTCTGTAGATCTGCCTGTTCTGCTCCCCACTCTGTCTCTGGCGAATCCTCTGACCCCTCCACCTCTGGCCTGCACCCCAGCTCTTGTATGCATAAATAAAGCTTTAAAAAAAGGAAGGAAGGGCCTCCCCGGTGGCGCAGTGGTTGAGCGCTGGGTTGCGAAGCTGCCCACAGCCTCTGCGGCGCCGGTTCGATCCCCGGCTGCTCCCCGGCCACCGGAGGAGGGTCCCACATGGCGCGCAGACCTTTCCTGCCGCCCGCTGCTCCCCTCAGCAGTGTACTTCGGTCCTTCTGCCTGCTCTGCTCCCTGCTCTGGCTCTGGTGAATTCTCTCACCCTCCTGCGCTTCTGACTGTGCCCAGTGCTTGTATAAATAAATAAATAAATCTTAAAAAAAAAAAAAAAGGAAGGAAGAGGGCATCCCCGGTGGCGCAGCGGGTTGAGCGCTGTGCTGTGGAGCTGTCCACAGCTTCTGTAGTGCGGGCTCGATCCCTGCCGGCTGGCGAGAAACCCACACGGTATGGCAGACCTCTCCTGTCTCGCCCGCTGCTCCCCTCAGCAGCGTATTTCTTTCATCTACCTGTTCTGCTCCCCGCTCTGTCTCTGGTGAATCCTCTCAACCTCCCGCACTCTGGCCTGTACCCCAGTGTAGGGTAAAGAAAATGTCAGGCTTTTCTGCCCTTCCGCCATCAGGATAGATGATGGATCCTTGTCCTGAATGCATGCCTGATGGCGGGCACCTGGAATAGGGTGTGGGCATAGGTAGATGGGATTCAGCTGAGCTAAGACTGTGCTTTTTAAGGGCGGCGTCACGGGGGGACGCCAGCAGCACCAGTAGCAGCAGTAAAAGCCAAAGCCGAAGCTGAAAGAAAAGCCGAGAAGCAGCAGAACCAACGCCAGAGAGCCCAGATAGAGTGAAGACTTGCTGGTGAAGTGAAGACCAGCCTGCACCCCTGCCTGCCATATGCCTGGTGAACCCCAAATAAAAAACCTGCAAAACTACTGAGGACTCTGACTCCTCCTTTACCCGGTCTGCATGGGATCACAAAACCTGCACTGTGCCCAGTTCCTGCCTCTACACCCAGCTCTTGTATAAAGATAAAAAATAAATAATAAAAATAAATCTTTAAAAAAATAAATAAAAAAGGAAAGTAGATGCAATATAGGACTCAACAATGAAGAGAGGTGAAACATGAGAAGAGTGTGGCGTCCTGTACAAGGAGCAACGGGCCAGAGCGACCACCCATCCAGGTGCCTTTCTGAGCACCACCTCCACGAGCTCATTCATCGTCACACCTGCCACATGGGGAGGGAAATACTCTGACCCACTTTAGGTAAATTGAAGCTCAGAGCCCTTAACAGGCTCTCTAAATAACAAGCAAAGCCAAAGAAGGAGCCCAGCAGGCCTGCTGCCGACGGCCAGCTCTTCCTCACCACTTGCCAAATTGGGATCAAAACCTGGAGATCCCTGAAGAGAGAGCGCACGCACTGTACATAAAGGAAGAACAATGTAAAATATATATAAAATTGGGGTGGGGGGACGCTGGAAATGTAGTGCACGGCATCGGTGCTAAAAGCTAACAAAATTCCGAAAAACGGGACTGGGGTGCTAAACATCAAAGTGCTCCACACAAAGGTGGTTTTGTGACCAAATACAGAGAGTTGTGTACTGGGCCACAATGTGCAAGTATCTGACTGTGGAGCTGCAATCGCTTGTAAAATACCCGACTACCTGACATGTTGCCTGTGATGTTGAGACACCTCCCGATGCCACCCCGGCAGTGGTGGGCGGTGACACCCCATCCTGTCCCTTGCTGGTCCTCTCAGCCCCACCTCCCTCTTTTCTTGGCCCGGACGCAGCCTTCTGGCATAAGGTGTGCACCTTCTGAATTGGCCAAACGAATCTGGGAGGTCTGAAGACATGGAACATTTCCTGGCACAAGTCATTCTATCATCTACACAATTACTCTCTCAGGGAGAGATGATCAAGAGGGACACCTAGAAATATTCTCCACTGTGGAAGGAGAGAAAAGAGTGCAAGTGACAGGAGGACTCCCATGATGGGGAATCAGGTTTCCACAGCCTGCAGCTCCTGCCTGCACACACTCAATTAAAAAAGACAACGGTTACCTGTGATCCAGCACTCCCACTCCCAGGTATATATCCCAAAATCCCTCAAAGCAAGAGCTTGAAGAGATACCTGCACCCCCTTGTTCACAGCAGCACTATTCACAACAGTCAAGAGTGAGAAGCGGGCCTCCCTGGTGGCGCAAGGGATTAAGACACAACCTATGAAGCTGTCCACAGCCACTGCAGCACGAGTTCGATCCCCGGCCAGGGAGCCACCCACATGGCGCAGCAGACCTCTCCTGACTCGCCCGCTGCTCCCCTCAGCAGTGTATTTCAGTCAGTCTGCATGTTCTGTTCCCCACTCTGTCTCTGGTGAATCCTCTCATCCCTTTACCCTGGCCTACACCCCAATTCTTGTATGCATAAATAAATAAATCTTTAAAAAAAAAAAAAAAGCCAGCAAGCAGGTTGCCAAGAGCTGGCAGGGAGAAGGAGAACGAGGGTCCAAGAGGCAGAGAGTCTCAGAGCTGCAAGAGGGAAAGTTCACGCCGCACAGCCATGTGAACACGGCGACACCGCAGAACTCAACAGTGGAGCTTCCACCTTGCAGAGGTCTCAGAACCACCATCCCTCTCAACATCAGCGATGAAACCAAACAGAACAGGAAAAGGAACACCGACATGATTATACACTGATTATCTGGAAGACTCGTCTATTTCCTAGGCAAATCACTGCTATATAAATCCTGACTATATGACTATATGACTTGTCATGCAGGCATCTCTATCACTCCTCTGGCCCCCACTCAAAAAGTCCATGTTAGAGTTTGCAACAACATGAGAGTTTAAGGACAGCTGCAATGTGAAACACCCGGAGAGGTTTCTGTCTGCTATGTGACTATTATTCCAAAGAAAAAAATTTTATCTTCCCCCACTTACTTACTAATGAATGGAAAAACATTTAAGAAATCTTTAAGAAAATGGGAAAAGTTTCCTAAAATGCTTTCAAGATCTTTTACATTAATTGAAATTCTTGTTGAATCATACTCAGGATGGTCATGAAAATGCTGTTGTTTGGGGGATCAATATTAAAAAAATCGGGGCCTCGCCGGTGGCGCAGTGGTTGAGCGTTGGGTTGCGAAGCTGCCCATAGCCTCTGCAGCGCCGGTTCGATCCCCAGCTGCTGGGCGAGGGTCCCACATGGCGTGCAGACCTCTCCTGCCGCCCACTGCTCCCCTCAGCAGTGTACTTCGTCATTCTGCCTGTTCTACTCTCCGCTCTGGCTCTGGTGAATTCTCTCACCCTCCCGTGCTTCTGACTGTACCCAGTGCTTGTACAAATAAAAAATAAATCTTAAAAAAAATAAAAACTTAAAAAAAAATCTTTATTAAAAAAATATTAAAAAAATCTTCATTACAGAGTTATTTTTAAATGAATTATCTATTCTGCTCTAAAAATGGTGGTTATTCCTCACAGTTTGATACAGAGTGACTTTGGGATGCTGTACTTCCTGGTGTTGGAGGTATTGCACTTACTGGTATCAGTGTACTATACCCTGGGAACACTCAGTAGTAGACAAGGAAGCAATAAATTCACCGGAATTTGACTGGAAACTAAACACCACCTTAGGACAAATCACGTAAATAAATATGTATGTTAAATATTTAAATACACATTTATTATTACCATTCTATTCCAGGAAACTGATCAGGGGCCTCTCTGGTGACTCAAGGGGCTAAGCATCAGCACTATGAAGCTGTCCCGAAGCCACTGCAGCACGAGTTTGATCTGCAGCCAGGGAGCTACCCACATGGTGCAGCAGACCTCTCCTGACTCGCCCACTGCTCCCCTCAGCAGTGTATTTCAGTCGATCTGCCTGTTCTGTTCCCCACTCTGTCTCTGGTGAATCCTCTCACCCCCTGCCTGCACCTGTGACCTGTCCTCCAGCTCTTGTATGCATAAGTAAGTAAATCTTTTTTTTTTTTTAAAAAAAGAAACTGATCAAATGATTTCTGCCTTAGATTCCTACAAAAAAATAACATAGTAAATTTTCAAAGCAATAAATCAATAATAAATAATCACTTTCTGAAAGCTAATAAAATGTTAATAACCACATTTTTAAAAATGCTTTTGATAAGTTCACTGAAAGTGTAACGGTTACATTCATAAAAACAAGAAGGAATTTTTACTGCTATCATTGTTTAGTTCATGAAAATAGTCAACCTGTCTTGAAGGTTAAGGGGTCCACCTTAGCTTTTTAAGCCTTACTTAAAGAGGACCTCCCCCATGGAGTGCCCTGGCAATCAGGGCCCTGGATAACATTTTTGTAATGACATTCCTATTAGTGCCTCAGAAGAAAAACCAAAAATGAAAAAGTTAGTGGCCTGGGAAGAATGTGAATTATGCACTAGAGTCTTATTTTCCCCCTTACCAATTTCAGATCAGTGCTATCCAAAAGAAATAGAATGCCAATCATGTTAAATAAAAGGAAACGAGTTGGGAAAAGGACTTTTTTCCAAAGAAGATACACAAAGGCTAATAAACCCATGAAATATGCTCAGCATCACTAGTCACTACAGAAGTGCAAATCAAAATAAGAATACACCACACTTCACACACCGCACAGCGGCCACAGGCAAGTAAGTACCGGTGAGGATGTGGAGAAACAAGAACCTGCACACCCAGGTGATGAAAATGTAAAATGGTGTAACCTCCGTGGAAAGGTATGGTGGCTCCTCAAAAAGTTAGTTCTCATAGGAGCCGTAACTCCACTGTAGGTTACACCCAAGAGCTGGAAACGCGTCCACTCAAAAACTTGTCCACAAAAATGTTCACAGAGGAATTATTAAAATTACAATTACAAAGTGGATGCCAGTTACTTACTCCCTCTGAACCTTAGAGTTCCTCCATCTGTAAAATAATAATAATCAGAAGCTTGGAAGAGTGTGTAGATATTAGTCCAGAAGTTTGGACATTTTTGGCCACTAGAATTTCATAAGCATTTGGTAAACTGCTGGAGTTAAGAAAAAGGACGCCTAAAGGCAACCACCAAATCCCACCATGGACACACTACCCCATGCTCTCTTCTTTCACTAGCATTGCAAAAATAAATTTAAAAAAACAGGTCAGAAACTGCAGAAAAGAATTTTTTCTAAGAAGGGTAAAAAGCAGCAGACACTCGCAAACAACCTTATTTTCCTCACTCCCTACAGACGGGCAGTGGTGCTCTGGCTGGACCCACCATAACCAGGCCCTGAAGAGGCATGAGTGGTCCTTCCCACCTTGCCCTGGCCAGCCGGAGCCCCTCCGCCAGGTGGGAAGCCAGGCCTGCTGGTCACTGAGGCGCCCTGCAGCCCCCCCAGGCTCTTCAGTCCCTCCTTACCTGCGGGCAGGTGTTCTCTACACAGCCTGCAAGGCCCAGAAGGAATTTCTGAAAATCTATTCCTTGAGAATAAATACTACTTCCTCCCCCAAAATGTGCTTTAAGGGGTTGCGTGTACCCACTATGAGAAAAGCCATATTCTCTTCAGTTAAAGGGTATTTCAAAGAGTGTCACCTGCATATAAGAAAAGCTAAGACAAATAGGGAAGCACGTTACTGTAACAGCTTTAAAATCAGAATAACTCCCAGAGAAGATAGATTTGTGATTATGGGAAGGCATTCTCCAACACGCGCGTGTGCACACACACACACCCCACACCACACCCACACCACACCCCCACCCCACCCCTCAGATTTTATGAGTTTTATCTTTAAAAAGTCTGAGGCCCTACATAAGAAAGCATTTATTATCTGGTACAGGGCTCATTGGTAAAGTTTACTCGATACTAAAACCAAGTTAACCCCAGAGACTACGGATCTCAACACACAAGCTGCTTCCAGTCAGTCAGCATTTCACTGAGAGGTGTATGTGCAAGTGGGAGCTGAACTGTTCTTGGTAATTAATGGTTTGTGCACCGGAGAAGAGAAACTTTAGTAGAGTTGCCCCCATTTTCCTCAAGGCACATGCTCCAGGGTCCTGTGCATGCCTGTACTGTGGAGTACTGAACCCTATACTTTCCATCTTTTTCCCTATACATCTAGACCTATGATGAAGTCAAAAAATTAGGCACAGTAAGAGATTAGCAACAACAGCTACAAAGTAGCGAATTATATACTATACTAAAGTACAGTGAATGTGGTCTTTCTCTTGCTCTCACAGTATCTTATCATACATAATATTTTCTTTTTTTTTTTTTAAGAGGCATGTTTTGATTTATTTATTTGTTTGTTTGTTTGTTTGTACATGCACTGGGTACAGTCAGAAGCACGGGAGGGTGAAAGAATCCACCAGAGCCAGAGCGGGGAGCAGAGCAGGCAGAAGGACCGAAGCACACTGCTGAGGGGAGCAGCGGGCGGCAGGAGAGGTCTGCGCGCCATGTGGGACCCTCCTCCGGTGGCCGGGGAGCAGCCAGGGATTGAACCGGCGCCGCAGAGGCCGCGGGCAGCTTCGCAACCCAGCGCTCAACCGCCACGCCACCGGGGAGGCCCCTCATACATAATATTTTCAAACCAGGGTTGACTGGGGGTAACGCAAGCCAGGGAAAGGTGAAACCATGGATAAAGAGGCCCACTGTAACTCACACTGTCACACAATTTAAATAAATTGGACGTACCGTCACACATTCCTAAGGAAGTCAGAAAAAGCAAGTCATACAAAGCTTAGATATAGTTCATTCACAGGAAGTTCCTCTCTAATCTCTGCAGGATCTGATTTTTTTAACTTGAAAACCAGCACTCATGAGCTCTCTACTTTCTTTGTTAATGTTTCTCCAGAGGTTACATCTCCTCTCACTTGTGAGATATTCAAGGGCTCAAATGTGATTGCTGTTTGAGAGAGAAGCATCCAGCCTGGGTATGGCATAGAGCAGCTATTTAATATGTGTGTGTAGAAAGTAAGAAAAAAAAAAAAAAAGCCAATAGGCTGACTCTGATGCTAAGATAGTTCTTTTGCTTTTCCCCCATCTATCACCATTGTGAAATATTTTACAACAAGCCCACCCAGGGGCTGATGGGCAGACAGAATTCCATCTCCCTGCATACACATACACACAGCTGCTTATCCTCCCACCGTAGAGAATGTGACAGCAGGTTAACTGCTACTCAGCACAGAATTCTGAGGCAAACAAAGCAAGCCTTGCCTTTTCGTCCTGGTATAACTTGTTGACGCTCTCCATCTGAAAGTTGTGGCTGGACTGGATCTTGTCAAGCTGCTCTCGTTGCTTTTCCAGTTCGCCCTGGAACTCATTCTTCTTCAGCTCCACGGCACCCCTCTCTGCAGCTGCTCTGCGGACCCTGCCTTCCAGCTCCATGATTCGTGTCTACAAGGATACCACACAGTAAGGGCAAATCCCAGTCATCTCCAGAGAGCAGACTGCCAGGGCAGGCCCTCTGGCAAAATCAGCACCAGTGTCCACAGCTGCATCAAGCCTCACACACCCAGCATGTTCCCCTGGGTCAATCTTTAAGTCAATTGTGTATCAGTCTCAACAGGTTTTTCCAGAGAAATGGTGATGGAAGAAATGGTGATGGAAGAAGAGAATTCACTTCTCTGAGCTTCTGTGTCTCTCCAACAAAACTGAAACACCACCGCGTCCCTCCCAGTGATTCTGTGAAGTGTCAAGGAGGTAAGCACACAAAGTGTCTCACACATTCCCCTGTGTGAGCTGGTGCTCAAATATTTAGTTCCTTCTCTTCACTCACAGGACACTTGACAACTACTTATCAGAATTTCCAAAATAAGAAACTGAGTTGGAGAAATGATTTAGTATTCCAACCCCGGACACGAAGTCCATACCAACCCGGAGGTCAGGAAGACGTTTACACAAAGGAACTGAAACCCGGCAGAAGGAGGCCTGAGACAAGGGCGGTCCACTGGATGGAGCCCCGTGACTAACAGTCCAAGCTCTGCCATCAGAGGGATGTGGGCTGTCACGGAGACAGCTAGAGACACACTCTCAGGGGGCACGCCGCCCACATCTAAAGGGAGCTGCATGGAAGTCAACATCTAGGCCAGGAGGTTATGAGCCTGGGCATCCAACAGGGAATCCAGAAGGCCCAGGATGTCTCTTTTTTTTCATTTCACTGTTTTTTTTTGTTTTTTTTTTTAAGATTTATTTATTTATACAAGCACTGGGTACAGTCAGAAGCGCGGGAGGGTGAGAGAATTCACCAGAGCCAGAGCGGGGAGCAGAACAGGCAGACAGACGAAATACACTGCTGAGGGGAGCAGCGGGCGGCAGGAGAGGTCTGCGGCCCTTGTGGGACCCTCGCCCAGCGGCCGGGGATGGAAGGGGCATTGCAGAGGCTGCGGGCAGCTTTGCAGCCCAGTGCTCAACCGCTGCGCCACCAGGGGAGGCCCGGTGTCTCTTTTTTTTTTTTGGAGTGGTGAAAACAAAAGGATGAAGAATCAAAACACGTGATACAATGTTCAAGGAAAAAAGAGCAGAGCACAAAAGTATCTCTGCTGTGACACAAGAGCATCTCCGTTTTAGTGACAATGATAGTTATGTAAGGAGGAACGAGAAAAGAAAATGGAAAAAAGCAGTTGATGTGGCAGCATGAGGATATTGTGAATAAATTTTGCTATCTGACATGCTCTGCTACAGTAACACCGCTCAGACAGTAGGAGAAAGAAAAAGAAAAAAGAAGAGGGAGACAGGGAGGCAAGGACATGGGATGGAAGGGGGAGAGGGGTGGGGAAAGGAGGAAGGGAAGGCGGGGAAAGGAAAGAACAGTGCCATCCAGGCTCCCCCGGACCTAACCGCTCTGTGACACAGTTTGCCCACCTGTGAAATGAGGGGGAAGCCCCAACCCTGTAGGGCTTGTGTACAAAAGAAGATGGTGCATGGTATGGGTAGGGGAGATGCATTCTGACACTGTCAGAACAAGGAACACTTGATTGAAGACGACTGCAGGAGAGGTCACGGATACCACAGCAGCAGAAAGAGAAGGTTCCCTCCACTCTGAACATGGCAAAGACAGGTGAAGTCTAGAGTCACCGAGCAGAGGAAGGGGGCGGTAGAAGGAAGAGTACTAAGAGGAGTAGAGGGATTCTTGCTGAGGTCGATCTAGGATGCAGGTGAGGCTCTTGATGGGCTAGCAAGGATACAGGGGTGACTTAGGAGGACTCTTTTTTCTTTAAAGATTTATTTATTTGTACAAGCACTGGGTACAGTCAGAGGCACGGGAGGGTGAGAGGACTCACCAGAGCCAGAGCGGGGAGCAGAACAGGCAGACGGACCAAAGACACTGCTGAGGGGAGCAGCGGGCGAGACAGGAGAGGTCTGCGCGCCATGTGGGTTTCAAATCAGGCGCTGCAGAGGCTGCGGACAGCTTCACAGCGCTGCGCTCAACCTGCTGCACCACCGGGGAGGCCCAGGAGGATTCTTTACAAAGCCTGGGCTAGGCAGGCTGAAGGCAGGATGGAGGACTAAGTCAGAGGACTAAGTCAGAGGCCTAGTGCAGAAGAGAGCTCAGAGGGGCCTTGGTTTGGCCCAAGAGCTTCTCTCATAGCTTAGCACTGTGCCTGGGCCATGAGGGGAAAGGTTGCTTAGTATTTATCATTAAGTGATGATGGATACCCCTGAAAACACCTCGCTCACTCCCATTATCCAAATACATTTCTACCACCACCCTGGGATGTAGTGTGGTTTGGAGGACAGGACTGGGCTGTGGCTGGTATACTTCTAAGCAAGCTATCTTCTCAGAACCAGCCCAAAGGACTCCACCGAAAATTGTTAACTCATAGGAAAAGCAGAAAGGGATGTTGGGCAGCAACCCTCAGAAGTCCCGAAGGGGTCCTCTCCCACCCAACAGCAGGGCTGTGGACTGAGTGGGTGATAGGTACCTGCCCACCTCAGAGAAGCACACTTTAGTGGGGATGAATACAACCCCCTTAGCCCCCCACCCAGTGACTTTAAATACCCTGACACCAAAATAAAATAAGCACCTGGAGGTCCACGCTGCGGGAGCTGGCGATCCAGTAGTTGAAGCCCAAGACGATGATGCAGGCCACCAGGGCAGCCAGCACCAGGGGCGGCGACTTCATGCTGCGACGCCCACTGCCCAATCCCATCATCTCACAGACTCAGCGGGAGAATCTACCAAAAAGAAAATCAACAAGCTTCACCCCGAGCATTACCATGCCCCATTGTCTCCACCAAGGGGGAAGGTGTCTGGCTCTAAGATGGGCCACTCTGTCCTTGAAAGGCATGGAGGACAGGCAGAGCCTGTCCCCAGCCCGATACCCGCCTCGACAGCCCCCTCGCAAACCTTTCACTACTGGTTCAAGACCTTTGGCCAGTCACCATTTCTCCCCGGCTTCCTCGCCTGTGGAATGGGAATAGAGTACCTACCTGTCCAGCACAGCTGGAGATTTTATCATCCCTGCAAACAGCTATGGCAAAGAGTTTGCTTCCACGTCACACTGGAAAGAACCCATGTCTCATTATACTCCAAAAAGACTTTTTTGATTTGATCCCTAACAAGGAAGGGATTTTTTTTTCCTCGTTGACAGAATTGCTCACACACCCAATTAAAGAAAGCGCTTCTTGAGCAAAGCAGGAGTGCAGCCCGTGGGGTGGCCCCGGCCGGACCTGGGGCTGCAGCTCTGTGCCTCCGGGCCCCGAAGGCACGAGCTCCCTCAGGGAAAGGCTCTAGCCGTTGTGTTCACATGCTCAGCTCAAAACCAGGCCTACCTGGAGTCCAGCACTGGCGACCCCAGAGAAGTAAAGTTGACTTTTCCAAATGGCTACTGAGATGATAAAACAGAGTCTTATCAGAAGGAGGATGAAGTATGTAATAACCAGCCTCCCCAGAGAGCAAAGATGCTTTTGTATCAGGTTTGGTCAGCAATGAGGAAGAGGGAAGGAGTAGAGACCAGCAGGGACTCACCACAAGGCTAAGTTCTTGCCACAGGAGAGCTGACAGCGCTGCCTCCAACCCTGTGGTGTTCCTAAAGATGGTGGTGTTCCTGGAAGATGATTTCTTTCTTAATAGCTGGGGACTGTGTGAGGGCCACGGGGATAAGAAAGCAAGCTCATTGAATCACCTAAAATAAAGTGCCACCAGAACTCCTATGCCTAGAAGGGACAGCTGACTCCATGCCCCACTGGTGCCTTCCGTACCAGCTTCTTCCTCTTAGGAGGAAAGAGGAAAAGATGTTTTTAATTCAATGGTCAGTTGATATAAGCAAGCACTTTACATACTAAAGGAGAGCAATGCTCACAAATACTAAACTTCTAGAAGATTCTACAGATCTGATGAAAATGCATCTCCACTGACTTTTATCTGAGTTTAATTACAATCTCTTTTTAACTTTTTAATATTTTGAATATAGTATTTTAAATAAAAATATTAAATATTTTAATATCTTAAATATAAATATATATATTTTAAATTTTTAAATATTTTAAATATTACAAATATAATTGGGGAGGGGGATCATACAGTACAGAAGAATGAAAGGTTAAAACCTCCCTTTCCACTCTAGTGACAGATGGATCACTGAATATTCTCCTTCCTCCTGCTAAGGGAAGGAGGAAATTAAACTGATCAACCACCATGAGTCAGGTGCAATGCAAAAAACAGGAAACGGTATTAAGAAAACCAACTCTGGAACCCAACAGCAGGTGTCAGATCCTAGTTCCACTCCTTAGGAGCAATTGGACCCATCTATGCCTCACTGTTCTCCTCACAGGGTTATTAAGATGATTACATTAAGATATGAAAAGTGCTTAGGACTGCATCTGGCACATAGTAACTGCTCAATAAATGCTGCTGCTAATGATGATGATTAGAGCTGAAAATATGAATCACAAATCGTTTTTTAGATCTAATCACCGCCACCCCCCTCCGGTCCATTTTCTAGGGAAAAGGCGATGCATGTTTTCTATCCATAATCATTCTACTCTCCAGGAACCAGCCATCTGCTGTCAGTCTATAGCAGCAACTGCCATTACCTGGGGCTGATTCACAGGTGCCACTGCAGCAGCAGACACTCCAGACCAAGACTATGTTAGAACACAGGTTCAGGGAAACTGAAAACCAGTATGGTCTCAGAAGCCCCTGCACTGGCTACTGTGAAAGACGTGCAACTGCACAGAGGGTGCATCAGGAGAGCTCTCGGCTCTCATTCAACTTTTATCCCTGCTAGACTAAAAGGGGCAAATGCAGAAATGACAAAGACTGATGACTGATCATAACAACACAGAGCCAGATTTTATAATTGTCAAATATTTCAAATATTCTTTTCCCCACCTTAGAATTTATGTGCACTGAGGGGACAAGGAAGAGGGTGGAAGATGCTCAGAGATATATTAAGAACCACTGTAATTTGGGCTTCAGAATGTGTTTTGTCTCATATCTGAAAAATGACTAACTGAAATCAGCTCAATTCTGGGCAGCCCCAGGCTTATCTGGAGTACAAGCTAACCGGTATGTTTCCGCATGAAAAGTCTCTTGGTAAACTAGAGCAGTAATGTAAAAACTGCAGATTCTTTCTGGAGTGGCAGCAGGCAACAGGGCAGAGGAGGCAAAGGAGAGTCCTGGAGTCTTCAGTGGCTTTTTTCAGACTTTTAATGCTCTTTCCACCCCATGTGTAGTGAGTTTGTCAGGTGCAGGGCAGGCAGCGGAGCTAGTGGCTCTGCCACACTCCGTCCTCTGCCGCCGCCCGTACAGGCTTGTTTCTGGCTCAGGTGCGCCCACTCTTGCACGCCCACGCCGCACTCCAGGTACCGCCATCAGGCACGCGTGTCAGACCACAGGTGTTGAACACAGATGCTAATGGCAGGAAAAACTTCCATTTACCTTACATTTCTAATTGACTTAATTAAAAATTTCAACCTACTGTTAAACCTATTGTTTGCTTGGGCCTCCCCGGTGGTGCAGCGGTTGAGCGCTGGGTTGCGAAGCTGCCCGCGGCCTCTGCGGCACCGGTTCGATCCCCGGCTGCTCCCCGGCCACCGGAGGAGGGTCCCACATGGCGCGCAGACCTCTCCTGCAGCCCGCTGCTCCCCTCAGCAGTGTACTTTGGTCCCTCTGCCTGCTCTGCTCCCCGCTCTGGCTCTCCCCGCTCTAGCTCTGGTGAATTCTCTCACCCTCCCGCGCTTCTGACTGTACCCAGTGCTTGTATAAACAAAACAAACAAATAAATAAATAAAACATGCCTCTATTAAAAAAAATAAATTAAAAAAAAACTATTGTTTGCTTATAAGACAAAAATTTTTCTAAGTGAACAGAGACCTTTAATCACTCTAAAAAAGCAAAACGCATAGAAAAATGGAATGTGCCAAATGCTTGAACCTTCCAGTTAAGTACTTTCTTTTCATTTATTTTCACATAGTGTTTTTTTAATTACATAGGCAAATACACATGAGCAATCAAATCAGGTGAACTTGTTTGACCAACGTCACCACTGCAGAAACAATACATTTTCTCCAAACAATGAGGAAGCCACTGCTTGATTCTTTCTAGGAGGAAATGGTCTCACCTGAGTGTTAGCCAAGGCGTTATAGCAGGAAGTTCACAAGTCACTGCAAAGAGCAAACAGACCTGACCACACCCTGGCACAGTGCTAGGGGTGGGGGAAGGAGTCTATTATCAACACTTGAGAGTTTAGAAATTGTCCATCCTGTCCCAATAATGTTTCTAGCCCTGGGGTCAGCAAACCGAGGCCCAAAGGCCACAGGCAGCCTGTAGGTAAACAAAGTGCCACCGAGTAGTCAGTCACGCCGTTCCTTTCAGTATTGCCCACAGCTGTTGTCCAGCTGCAAGCAGAGTTGAACAGCTGATGCAGAGATCAACTCATGGGTTTACTGTGAGAATCAAACCCGTTAAAAGATTCATTGACTGCCCCCTTGGAGGAAGTTTGTCAACTGCTCTAAACCATTAAGGTTACATGACCACGTCCATTGTATCCCGCTTATGTCATTTTAAAAACTTACCAGAAATTACACAGGATCTCGTCACATCCCCAACCCCTATCATAAACATCATGTGTTCCCCAATTCTGGAAACTGATGGTTTTAAAATTAAAGTGCATATTTAGTATTATCTAGTAGAATACCAAAAAGCAAGTGGGGTGAGTGAAAATGCATGAAAGGAAGCACATTTGATCATGTTTTTTCTACTGGGGATTTTGGAAAGAAAGAGTAGACAGACGCTAAGACTACATCTTGGTAGACGCCCCCCCAAATTTCCTCTAGGTCTGGGGTCCTCACACTGCAGCCCACAAAGAGAATCCTGCTATCCACCTGTTTCTGTATACTACCACAAGCCCAGCTTTTACATTTTCTCCTGGTTAAAAGGAAGTCAAAAGAATACTATTTCGTGACAAGTGAGAAGTATACGAAATTAAAATTTCAGTGGTGTAGGGTAAGGTAAAAGTATCAGGCCTTTCTGCCCTCCCGCTATTAGGGTAGATGAGGGGACCCTGTGGTCCTGACTGCATGCACCTGGAGTGGGTACACCTGGGCTGAGAGACAGTTTATAAGGGCGGCATCACGGGGACGCCAGCAGAAGCCGAGAGAAGAAGAGAAGCAGAGAACACGCCAGAGAGAGCCCAGCTAGAGTGAGGATTTGCTGGGGGCTGGGAGGACTGCCAGCCTCCCGGCCCCCCAGAGCCCCTGCCTGCCATGTGCCTGGTAAATCTAAATAAAGGACCTGCAAAAGCCACTGAGGACTCTGACTCCTCCTTTACCAGGTCTGCGGGATCAGAAAACCTGCACTGTGTCCATTCCTGCCCCTACGAGTGTCCATGAATGAAGTTTTATGGGGTCACAAACACATTCTCTCACTGAAGTACTGTCTGGCTGGCAGGGTCCAAAAGCTGAGTGGCTATGACACAGACCACATTACCTGCAAAGTCTGAAATATTATCTGGCTCTTTACAGAAAAGGGTTGCTGGTCCCTGCTGTAGTCCAACAGTTCTGTTCGTAAAGTGTGCTCTCTGGACCAGCAGGATCAGGATCACCAGATAATGTGTTAGGAATGCAAATTTTCTGGCTCACCCCTGACCACACCTCGCATGGGGTAGGGCCTACTGTCCATGTTTAAGAGCCCGCCAGATGATGATGACGCAGACTCAATCTTGAGGGCCAGT